GGAGAGGAGAGGAGAGGAGAGGAGAGGAGAGGAGAGGAGAGGAGAGGAACTCTTCTCAGTGGTGGCCAGTGACAGGACAAGGGGCAGTGGGTACAAGTTGAAACACAGGCAGTTCCATCTCCATATGAGGAAGAACTTCTTGACCATAAGAGTGCTGGAGCCCTGGAACAGGCTGCCCAGGGAGGTTGTGGAGTCTCCTTCTCTGGACATCTTCCAAATCTGCCTGGATGCGACCAGGTGCCCCGTGCTCTGGGTGTCCCTGCTGGAGCAGGGGGTTGGACTAGATGATCTCTAGAGGTCCCTTCCAACCTCAACCATTCTGTGATTCTGTTTTCTTCACATGAGATGCCCAAAATTGGAAATGTATTTGCCCATAGGTTATAGGGGGTTCTTTCTTCATCCCTTTCCGTTTGCTTTCCTCCTGTCCTTCCTTCCATTTAGGTTGTTTTCTCCTCCGTTGCTTTTGTTCTCTCCCCCTCCCCTGCCCTAGGAAGAGAAAAAGTCTTATTTCAGTCTGAAATCCAGAGATGGAGGGGGGAGTCATTTGATGCCAGAACGGCAGGAAACTTAACCTTCCTAGGGTGGAATTAAAAATGCTTGAATTGTCTGGGGATCTTAAACAAGAGATGCAGGGAACATTTAGGGCTTTTCACGCAAACAGACACATATGCGCGCGCAAACACACACGCTTAAGCCCACACAGCATTAAGGGTGTAATAGCTCAGCTGGGGTAATGCACTTGAACTCTCTCTGCTGCAGACAGACCAATTCTTTTGGTTGCTTTGAATATTTTGAGGATGGAGAATGCTGCTAGGTCTCCGGGGAGGGAGACATTTGTCTTGTAAAAAGCACAGTGCCATTTGTTCTTCATAATCGTGCATTTTCAGAGCATAATTACAGCGCCATGGGACTGGGAGGGGGCTCAGGCTACGAGCTGAATTTCTCTTTGCTTTTTTTCCTCTGTGCAGCTCGGGCTTTGGGCCTGCTGGAAGTTTGTGACTGGAACGGAGGCTGGCCCCGCATCTGAGGGGAGTGCAGGGGTCAGGATGGGGCCTTCCCCCATCCGCTCCCATCTCCAAGTGTGTTCATGGATGGAGAGCAGTTATTGCTGCTGGGATCTCTAGGCTGTTGTGTTGGTTGGGGAGCTGCAGCCAGCAAATTGCATCCAAATCATGTATTTGTAAGAAAGAAAGGATGTGCTAAGGGGATGTCCGGTGTGGGACAGCATCAAAGTGCTGGGCTGGAGGTGAAACCTTGCGTTGTGTGTACCTAGGAGGGTGTTCGTGCTTGGGCCGAGGAGTGTGTGTCAGCATGGGGATGTCAGTGCCTCCGTGCACCATTTGCAAACCACGTGCAGCCTGTCCTGCTGTATTGGAAGCACCTGAGCTGTACAATTTCGATTGCTGCCACCCCGCTATCTCCCAGGCTTGCAGCCCTTTCCTGGTGTCTGTCCAGCCAACCTGTAAGAGTGGACACTGGCCTGAGTCACCCTGGCTGCTGCTTTTCATGGATGTCCTTCCCAGGCCGCCAGGGTGTCAGTTATTCCTCTGCAGCAGTGTGCAAAATGTCACGTTGCATACGGAGACGTGTGGTGAGTAATAGGAGAAGATGCTGAGAGATCTATGTGCAGTCTGGTGGTGGGATCTCAGCTGGATCTGGGTGCAAGCTGGTCATTGCTCCGTGACAGTAAGTGTGGACACAGCGAGGTGCAAAGAAGGACAACAGGGATGTTTAGAGCTTCAGGAAAATTCTCCAAAGTGGGCAAGAAAGGAAGATTGTAAATCCAAGCCTAAAACTGTGTCACCCTGCAAAGCATCACTAAGACTTCTCTGACTTTCCTGTCCTTCAACGGGAGAAGAATCAACAACACAAAGGAACAAAGCAAAACAAACCACAACTGCACAGTAACACCCAGCTCTGAAACGCGTGGTCTCATGGCATGGTCAAGGCAGCCAGAAGTGAAAAGCTACGTGACTGTAGCATGACTATTGAACTTACCCTTGCAGGTTGAACATGGAACGAGATTTTGGAAGGGAGATTAAACTGCCAGGCATGGTGCCTTTCAGGACAGCAGGAGACTATCCAGGTTGCCAGCACACAACGGGGTTTTAAGCTAGGCAAGGATTTGTTAGCCATTATCAGACAGCAAAGGGATCATGTGAGCCTTGGATGGGGGGCATTGCCTTTGCTCTTCCCCATGGACCTCTCCATTACAAGAAGGGCTTCACAGCACTTATTCTCTCTTTCTGTGCTTGTCCCGTCTTTCTTGAGTGTTAATTCATTGTCTCTTCTGAAATGTTTGGGGAATCTGAGGCCTTTCTGTATGGGAAGGGTCCCAGGGAAGGGAAAAGAAAGGAGAGTGCTGGGGGCTAAGCCATGCTCCTTCTCGTCTTCTGCTCCCCTCCATTCACATCTCCCCATTCTCCCTGGATTCCTTGGAGCAAGCGTGACTCCAAGCAAAGCTGCAGAAGAAGAAATCCCGCCTTTGTGCCCTGTAGGAGTTTGTTGTGCTTTTAGGGCTTAACAAGGTAGAGAACTTAGCAAAAGTAGATGATATAGTATAGCATAGGACATAGAGTATAGGGCATGGCGCTCGGAAGATCTCGCGCTGTCACGGGAGTTAGGAGCATAATTAATTTACGCAGTTTACTGATAACCTCATGCCATACAAGGCAAAAAGTAGAAATTAGTCTCCCGATTGGGCAGTAGGTGAGTTTCCGCGTTCAACTGGAGTATATAGGCAGACTGAACTGCACAATAAACGCCATTTGCCGCATCCCCCATAGTGATATCTGTGCTCCAGGGCCCTGGGGTGAGGACAACCCCAGGTCAGTCCAGCTAGCGAACGAGGCTTGCCGACCCTCTTCGGCAACAGTGCCCAAAGCAGCAGCCCAAAGAGCTGAGATGGTGTCAGAGTTGAGTGGGGTTGTGGGATGTCCTCCTTGGACAGCAGGAGCAGCTTCGAGTCAGAGACATGTGAGGCCAAACAACAGAGCTCACGTGTATCAGCATCTGTCCTGTCCCAAAGAAACCTCTATCCCCTTTCCTTTCTCTCTGTCCCTCTGTTCCTTCATTCATCTCATCTGTTCATTCTCTAGCTGTCTGGGCCTGCCCATTCCCCTCTCCTCTCTTCCCTCCTCTGCTCTTGAGGCCTGCGCTTGCTTTCGGTTACTGCCTGTCCCCCAGAGCTCCCAGCTGGCAGTGCCCATTGCCCTCTTGCATTGGGCTCCTGTGCACCCCGCTGCTCCTCGGCCACGCTCCCCAAACCCCCCTCTGCCCTTTTCCAGGGAATTCGCCAAAGAGCGTGAGAGAGTGGAGAACCGCCGAGCCTTCATGAAGCTGCGGCGGCAGCAGCAGATCGAGCGGGAGCTGAACGGCTATCGTGCCTGGATAGACAAAGCAGGTAAAGGCTGGACGCTGTCTGGGGCTGCTGCTGCCAGGTGCCGGAAAGTCCTTTCTGCCTCTCTGTACAATATCAGAGTTTTCCAGTTAAATCTGTCCCCATGGGATTTGAGGCTGATGTGGGAGATTCTGCCCTGATCTGGCAGATCATAGGAGTTGGTAGAGGCTCTTCGTGGGGTTTTGCTGACTTCCCATAGAGCCAGCTCCACTTGCAAGTGTAAGTCTCCAACCTGTCATGATCCTGCGGCTCCCCTCCTTGCTTCTCACGGAAAGGGTTCTGCTGGGTTGCAGAACATCCTGCTCTGGGAAGGGAAGGCTTATGCTTCCATCTAAAATGCCAACTTAAAGCATTGCTATCTTGAACCAAGGCCTGAGCTGCAGGTCTCAGCTTTGGTCTTGGATTCAGATGTTTCGACTGCTCAGGGCAGTTTGGATTTGGAAGTATATTTCAGTATATCCACCCATGCAGGGTGGGATAGCTTTGATAAGCCAGTGCATCCAAAGTTGTCTTGCCTGTCCCAGTCAGACTTGCAGGCTGTTCCAAGTTCAGCACTTTTTTTTCTTTCCTAGAAAGCTGATAATTTGCAGACTCTCATTTTAGTCTGCTAAAATGAGTGTAACACTTAGCTACACACAGATCTGGCTTGGTGTGCATTAGTTAGATCCTTTTCTGCCTAGACTGACTAGCCCTATGACCCAACTTTCATGGAATCTGCAACAGACTCAGACAAATCTACCAGCTTTTAGAAACTGTGAATCCGTGATTAAAGTTAGCTTACAAATGTGTATGGGGAAAGAGGAGAGGGTGAGGAGGCCTCGAGACATCAGGGGGATATGTGAAGGTCTCCCCTCCAAAGGCATAATTCAGGAACAGGCTGGTTCAGTATGCAGTGTACAATATTCAAACTTGTTGGTGAGGTTATGATTTTCCTTTCTGATAAAACATGCTGTAACTGACTCTTACTTCCCTTGAAGATTTAATTTTGGACACTAACGTAGTAGTTAGACCCTACTGCAAGGGCAATCATTTTGGGGCTGGATAAAATACTTAGGTACAAGGTAGTAAAGTTCTGTGACACTTCAATGGCATTGCTCAACCAACAGTGTCATGTCTTTTTTTCTCATTCTGATGCTAAACCTTGTGTTTTGTGTAGAGGAAGTCATGCTGGCTGAAGAGAACAAAAACTCTGGGACTTCGGCCTTGGAAGGTAAGATGAGTAATATATCCTGCAGAAATATCTGCCTGTCCTTCCTTGTGCCCACCTGTAGTTGGAAGTTGAACTCTCTAGAGGCCAAGAACCAGTTACGATGTTAGGAGAGAGGTCTGAGAATTGTCTTAGGCTTCATCCTGGCAAGTAATATGTGGCCCTGGAGAGGGCTGTGGGAAAGTGGATTGAGAGCAGCCTAGTGGAAATGGGGACAGCACAAGCCCATGGAAAGTGTGGAGCCTAGGGGACATCTGGTCCTGCTCAAGGTATAGCTGGGAATTGGGAATGTGGCTCTGTCCTGTTACCAGACCAGAACTAGCCAAGTACTAACTTGCAGGTACTGGTCTGATGAACAGATTGTTGGCAGAGCTGGGCAACCATAGCTCCTCTTCCTACTACTGTTTCCTTTCCAGTGCTCAGGCGAGCCACCATCAAAAGGAACCGGACAGATGCCATGAATCGTGACTCCAGTGACGAGCACTGTGTAGATATCGCCTCCGTCGGCGAGCGGAGATTGGCTCAGAGAAGACCTCTTCATCCAACCTTAGGTTAGTGCAGTTTGAACCTTGCTTCCCCAAGGCACAATGTTGCGCGAGCACACCATGTCAAGTTGTGAGGCCTGTACCCAGCATGTGGAGGTTGTTAGAGACAACCTGCTGCTAGTGTGATAGCTGTGGCATTTAGGAGCTGTCTGGTTAAGTCTTGTCCCATAAGAGCAGGATCTGTGGACCATCCATTCTTCTCTGAATGTCTCTCTTGACAAGTTCATTCACCTTGGCATCCATCCTCTTTCCCCTCAGGTAACCCCTTGAGTCGCTCCAACATCAAAGGTGCCAGATTGAATGGTGCTACTTATTTTCGGCACAAAGAGCGACTCCTGCGCATCTCTGTCCGCCACATGGTGAAATCCCAGGTCTTCTACTGGATTGTCTTGAGCCTGGTAGCTCTCAACACTGCCTGCGTGGCCATCGTCCACCACAACCAGCCAGCCTGGCTCACCCACTTCCTCTGTGAGTCCCAGGTCTTTGTGTAGTTGTGTTAGAGCATTGCATGGGTGCAAAAGGGAAGGCAAAGCATCCTGGCCGTGGGACCGGTCTTTTGTGGGGAGTGGGGCTGACGGTCATAGGAAATCCTCCTGGTTAAATTTTTGGCCTAGTAGCAGCTGGTAGAGCATGACATGGAGATCCCCAAGGTTATGCCAGGTACTGAAATGTTCCCCCCGCTCTCTGTGGGCCGAGGTACAAGGTCAGGTCTTGGAGGCAGTATATCCATGTTCCTTCCAGTGCGCCGCTATTTGCCAAGCGGCTCGGTCACCCCCGTGGCAGTCGTGTATTACTCCTGAGCTGCTGCAGCAGGGAGAGTGATTCTGGTTTCTCAGCCATGTTATTCTTGCTTCACCTTGAGAATGTCCCTGTCAAGCACTGGGCCTGCCCAAATCTGCATTTGCTTGCGCAGGCCTGACAGGATCCCAGCACGACACAGTGTGCTGCGGCAGCTGGTCGTGGTGAGAAGCATCTCTTGGACAAAGTGAAAAGCCAGAATCTTGCCTGCTAGTGTTCATGAAATAGCTTGAGGAGCTTTTCACTGGCTCTTGGCTGTTTGGCTCAGTTACACTGGCCAAACTCCAGCTGTGCAATGGTTTACATCCAGGTTGCCAATATTCCCCTGCAGTGTAGTGTGGATAGCGTCTTTGTCGATGCTCCAGTCACTGCTGTATAATGTTGAATAGTTGCTCTGTTCTATGCCAGCCACCTCTCAAACCCCTGGGACGCCAGTACACCCACCCTGAAACACTAACTTGTGGGGTCAGTGCTCTGTTATTCATAACTGGTTTCTCACAGACAGGCTTCCTCCAGCTCATACCTTGGCATGAGCAAACTTGGGAGAAACAGCCTACTCCTTTACTTGTCTCACCTCTTGGTGTGCTACGTGGGCTATTGGTGAATGCAAATGGGGCGCTCAACACAGCTCTGAGGATCACGCATCTGGGTTTTCTCTCTTTCAGACTATGCAGAGTTCCTGTTCCTTGGGCTCTTTCTCCTGGAGATGTCCTTAAAGATGTATGGGATGGGGCCACGCCTTTACTTCCATTCGTCATTCAACTGCTTTGACTGCGGGGTAAGCAGCCCCCAAAACGCTGCGGGCTGGGGGGACGTTTCACAGGCTGCTGAGAGCATAAGGTGCTTAGAGGGAGAGGAATGGGACAGCCCTCTTAGAACACAGGGGAGTCCTTTCTCCTGGGACAGCCAGCTCTTGCTGGGCTGGCACTAGATTGCAGCACAGGGTGGCTGGATGCCCCATCCTCAGGCACAGGAAACACATTTCCTGTGACTGCCTGTCCTGAGCTCTCTGTGTTCATCTTCAAAGTGCATGTGCTCTGATTCTCCTGGCTCTGTCTGCTTCTCAGGTCACAGTGGGAAGCATCTTTGAAGTGGTTTGGGCTATCTTCAGACCAGGGACTTCTTTTGGGATCAGCGTCCTACGAGCTCTCCGGCTCCTGCGAATATTTAAAATAACCAAGTATGTGCCAAACAGTCATGCCTGTCACCTTCCTGCTTGGAGCTTGGCTCGTGGCCCAGATCTGATCAGTCCTGCTTTCGTAGTATAGCCTCACTGTCTGTCCTCCAGCAGTGCCTCTGTTTTCCAGGTATTGGGCATCCCTGAGGAATTTGGTGGTTTCACTGATGAGCTCCATGAAATCTATTATCAGCCTGCTCTTCCTCCTCTTCCTCTTCATTGTAGTCTTTGCACTGTTGGGAATGCAGCTGTTTGGAGGCAGGTAGGTGGTTGCAAACCTGGGGGAAACAACCTCGCCGGTTTGTTTTTTGTTTGTTTTTTTTTGTTTTTTTCAAAACCAAAGGATGATTCCTTCTTGGGTGCCTGCACCTCAGCATGCTGACACCAATACTGATACTCTCCCACATAAGAACCCCTTCTTATTGCAGAGTTTGTGTGGGGTCCCTCTGGGCTGTGTGGGCCCTTCTCTCCAGGAAACATTTTGAGTTATGACACCAAATACTCAGGAGATCATCCTTAAAATGGAGAAAAGTCATCCGAAGCACAAGAGAGCAAATAGGAGGGTCTCTAGTTTGATGACTTCTTTATTCCAGCTTACTTGCATCCTTTTGGTTCCACTTCCAGGTTTAATTTTATTGATGGGACACCTTCAGCCAACTTTGACACTTTCCCTGCCGCCATCATGACAGTGTTCCAGGTAGGAGCTGGGTGACACAGGAAGCAAATAGGTTGGAACTATCCAGTTGCTCCCTCCAGATGTCATATCATGACCCTGTCTGGAAGGGTTTTTAAACCAGTGGAGCTCCCCTCTGTTAGTTATACAAGGTGGAAGAGTTTCAAAACTCTGCTAAGGAGAGTGTCTATCCTCATCAGAAAATCTGGTTTCTTCTCCCTCAAAGATGTAAAGTTGGGTTATTCTCTGTGTGGGGTCTCTGGTCTGTGTCCATGGGTGGAATGGATCCAATGGGCTGTCTAGGTCACACAAAAGGATTAGTGATGGAGCTACTGGCTTGTTTTTGTGCAGATCCTGACGGGTGAGGACTGGAATGAGGTGATGTACAATGGCATCCGCTCCCAGGGAGGTGTCCGCTCGGGCATGTGGTCCTCCATCTATTTCATCGTCCTCACCTTGTTTGGAAACTGTATCCACTTGGCCGCTGTGTTTTTAGTGAGAGACACCTCCATCTCATCTCCCTGTGTGGGGCATTCACCCTGCACATCTGCTCCTTGTGTCTCCTCAGAGGTGTAACTCTCTCTCCAACTGAATCCCATCACATGTGGGGCAAGCCCAGACCTTCCAAACACACAGGAGGAGGCTGTCAGAAAATGTCTGTGCCTCCCACCCTCCGAGGGCTGTGTGTACGGGACGTGTGAGGAGTTTGTCCCTTCAAGTGCTCCTCACAGAGCTGGTCGGAAGTCTCCCGAGCAAGGGATTGGGCTCCTTGGGGCTCCCTGGGTGTTTGTGGACACTGTGCCCTTAGCATGTGGCTTGTGCATCCTTAGCTGCTTGCAGACACCCTGCTGAACGTCTTCTTGGCCATTGCCGTGGACAACCTGGCCAATGCTCAGGAGCTCACTAAGGTAGGTCCTAGTAGTTCACTCTCGTTTTCTTGCTGGTGTGAAGATTGCAAAGGATGGGGCCAGCAGGAAAGGCACTGAGAGCACCAGGAGAGGCACCATGGTCACTGCAGTGTTAAGGCCATTTTCTCCCTAAGCTCAGATTGCCTTGCAAAGGGTTGGGCCAAACTGGGTCAAGAGGGAACTTTTCCTCCAGGAGAGTACACCAGGAGCTCTCCTGAAATGAACCCTGTATCATTGTGCAAAGCCAGTTAGTCCTTGATTCAGGAAAGTACTTAAACCTACTTGTCTCCTGTCTCTCCAGGAACACCCACACTTCACATCAAGTGTGGCTAAACTGTTTCTCCATTTAAACTTGCCAGCTTCGTTTGCCTCGGGCCAGGCTGAGATAACCCTCGTGTATCTGATAAGGTCTGATGCAGACACCGCTATTTGTCAAGCACTCTGGAGATGCAAAGCACGAAGCTTTTTTCAGTGGTGTCAATATTTATCCCCTATCTGCCTGTGGGGCAGTGGGCATGATTTAGGATGCATTCTGGGATGGTGCTTGAAAAGGTTATTGGATTTGGTTGCTTTTAAGGCCATGCTGGGAAATATTTGGGGAATGCTGAAATGTCGGGCCACCATTTGGATAATGGTGAGGAGGCGAAAGCTGCCAACATCATCGCTGCTCTTTGACTAGGATCGGAGATCCCACGCTGGCCATTTTTTTTGCAGAGGCTGTGCTTATTCTGCATGTCCTCTGAGCTCCCCAGGAGGCCTCTGTGCCAGTGTAAACCTGACCCGTTAGCAGCAGAGGGAGTGGAGTGGGAGAGTTTGTGGTGCTAATTTGGTCTTCAGGGCTGCACCTAGGGGAGCCTCCTGCAACTAGTGTGGGCAGGATGAGAAGGGTAGGAGAGCCCTGGATCGTGCTGATCGCATGGATCCCCTGTCTCTCAGTCCCTGTACCTGGCCGGTGGCTCTGAAGCATCAATTAAGAGAGTGCTGAGTTTTTGAAAAGGCTGAATGAGCACTAATGGCCCCCTAATGATTTCTTTTTCATCCAGTGACACAGCTGTACTCCTTAAAGCAATGCCATCTCTGCTGGTGTCATTCATGGAGCCCTTGCCTCCCACCCCATCAAGGAGGTGCCTGTCTGCTCCCTGTGGCTAAGAAGAAGAGGGCTGAGCTGATCCCTACCTCTGGGGTTGCTGTGGCTTGCACAGCCTGACTCTTGCCTAGAGTAATCTGGGTTCACTTGTTAAGTAGTGGCAGCTCCTTCAGCTAGATCTGTTGCACTGAGGAAGCTGTGCTCCTGGAGCGTGAGGAAAATAAAGGCTATCTGCTGAAGTACAACTGCCTGCGCCCCTCTTCTCCCCTGAGCCTAGCCTGGGGTTGGTGCCAAAGGGGTTCCACGTTCCTCTCACGACCCCTGATGGGTGCACGTTTTCTAGAAATGCCGACATCCTGCTAAATGACTTGTCTGCTTCCTCCATAGGATGAGCAGGAGGAAGAGGAGGCCTTTAACCAGAAGCATGCCCTTCAAAAAGCCAAGGAAGTCAGCCCGATGTCTGCCCCGAACATGCCTGCTCTCGAGTGAGTGACCCTCCCACAGCACCCGGACCCCAGTGCCCCCGGCGCCCAGCGTGGCCCATTCTGTTCCCCTAAGGACAGGGGTGCAGTCTGAGCCCCTAAAGCTGGGCCAGGCTCAGCGGGGCTGCCTGCTCCCGTGGGTGCAAAAGGATTCCCCACAAAGGCTCATTCCCCCTCAGGGTGTTTTTCTAAGGATGGATGGGTTCCTGTATGAGCAGGTTCCTTGTGAAGGGTAGCATCTTTCAGAGAGGTGTCAGAGCACTGAGTGAGACCAGGCCACCAGGAAGGACCTGGGGCTGCCAAATTGCTGCCTCGAGCTGGAGCCTCAGTGCTGGTGGATGAAAGAGTTCTGCTGAAAGAGGCTTCCTGCTCCAAACAGGAAGCTCAGATACTCAGGACAGCAGCTAAGGACAGGGAACGAGGCTGGAAAAGGGGTCCGTAATTTCTTGAGGATGAAGAAACGCTGATGACGCTTGCTCCCATCTAGCATTTTTTATGGCAGAGATGCAGGAGAGGAGCCAGGGATGTAGGAGACTTGAAGCAGTCTTGGGAGCAGCAGTGTCGGAAATCTCCCCCAGGCTCCTCCTCTTATAACAAATGCAGTTATGAGAAATGGAGCACGTTTGCTAAACCACATTTGATTTTAAAGAAATTTGATTTGGGGAAGAAAAAAACTGAAAACCACATAAAATGCTCCCCGATACAGTGTTTAAAAAGCCTTGTCTCTGCATTTCAGTGGGAGAAAGTTTTGTTTTATTTTTCTTTTCTAGATGCTTTTTTCCCCCTTTTATTTTGCAGTGTCATACAGTCTAAATCGCATAAAACTTTCAAAGTCAACATTGGAACGAGGCGTTGTGATTTGTTTTCCGAAACAGTACATTTCAGTACAGCAGAAAGGACTTTTTTTTTTTTTTTTTTTTAATAGAATCCTTTCCTGGGGAATTTTGGGTTTCGTTATGCTTTGAAACCAAGCCAAGTCTGTACACTGCAGAATCTCTTGCAAATCTGCTGAGAGAAATCGGTGTCTTCAGATGAGCCCTGATCAACAGGGTCAGAGAGAGCAACCAAGTTCATCTCGTTCTCTAGGAACTGCCCGAGCTCCCCAGACTGAGGCTTTGCAGCAGTGGGATGTGGTGGTCCAAGGCCAGGAGCTTGCAGGCATGTCCAGCATGGGGAGATGGGGCCAGGTTGGTCTCTAAGACCTGCCTAGTCTCCAGGCAGCTGCAGACACAGCCCTGCCTTGTGGGGGATGAAATGATCTTCATAAATCCCTGCCTGGCCACTGGTTCTTCCTCCCAGGCTGACGGGAAGATCCTGGGGGAGGTTTGAAATCACAGGGTCTCTGTGTTGTGGCTGGCTCTGCCTGCCAGCGTGAAGGTGCTGGATAAAGGGATTTAGGTTGCGGTAAAGGCTTGAGAATAGATGTATATGGGAGAGGAGGAGGAGGAGGAAGATGGACTATATTAGGACATAAAGGATTTGTCGGTGCTGCACAGCCTTGCTACAGTTTTATAGCCATTGTCAGATACAGCTAGTTAAGAAAATGGATTTTTTACAGCTAGTTAAAGATTCTTTTTCTTTGTTTTGGCGGTGTGAAATGAGAGGTATTGATATTTCCGGATCTTTCTTATTTTTTTCCCCCCGTTTCTCCTCCCTGTCAGGCTCAGTAATTTCCCGTGCAGACAAGGGTGTGCAGTGCTGCGAGGGTAACAGTTTTGACCTCCAGGTCCGACGTCCCTTGGGTGCTCCCAGCACTTGCTAGCAGCCAGGGCAGGGTGGTGGGGACGCACCGCGAGGGGCAAGCGAGAGCAGGGCAAGCACTGAAGGGCTGCTGGAAACTCCAGATTCAGTCTCCGGGCCGCGTGCAGACACAGATGGTTTTGCCTGTAGGTGGGTAGCTCGGGGAGGCAGGTTTGGAGCACGGGCTTCTGTGTGCGGAGAGGTCCAGTTGTGTTCGGCGCGAGTGCTCCCACGTGGCCAGCTTGGCGTGGGGGGCTGTGGCGCGGACTGCGCTGGTGTATCTGCACCCCGCTGCCGTCGGTGCAGATGGCTCGGGGTGAGCGGGTGTACGGATGGGCGCGTGTGGACGCAGCGGAGGTGGTGCCTGGCGTGGCGCGTGGGCGCCGTGGAGGGCTTGGCCGCCCGCTGCAGGGAGAGGCGCGTGCCAGGCACGCGGTGCCCACGTGGGATCGTGTCCGTGCGGACTGGGGCGCGTGCCAGGCACGGGGTGCCCATGTGGGATCGTGTCCGTGCGGACTGGGGCGTGTGCCAGGCAKGGGGTGCCCACGTGGGATCGTGTCCGTGCGGACTGGGGCRTGTGCCAGGCATGGGGTGCCCACCTGGGATCATGCCCGTGCGGACTGGGGCGTGTGCCAGGTGCAGGGTGTCAACGTGGAATCATGTCCGTGCGGATCAGGGTGTGTGCCAGGCACGGGGTGCCTGCTTGGGATCGTGTCCGTGCAGACTGGGGCGCCTGCAAGGCACGGGGTGTCTCTGCGGGATCGTGTCCGTGTGGATCGGGGTGCGTGCCGGGTGCAGGGTGCTTACGTGGAATCGTGTCCATGTGGATCGGGTTGTGTGCCAGGCATGGGGTGCCTGCTTGGGATCGTGTCCGTGCGGACTGGGGTGCCTGCAAGGCGCGGGGTGCCTCTGCGGGATCGTGTCCATGCGGATTGGGATGCGTGCCAGGCACGGGGTGTTCCTGTGTTGGATCGTGTCCATGTGGACCAGGGTGTATGTGAGGGGTGCCCGCGTGGGATGGTGTCTGTGCGGACCAGGGTGTGCAAGTGCAGTCTCGGTCGTGAACTGCCCTGTCGCAGGCCTGGTGCTGCGCTAGCGTGTGCACGAAGCTGTAACGTGGCCGTATGCAGGCAATAACCAGCATGACTGAGCCAGCAGCTGAGGGGGACATTGCAGCTGCATGAAAGCACCTGGATGTGCCCTGTCCTGCACACACACACACAGATATTCACGTGTGCAGGTGTATTTGCCTGTCCTGCACACACACCCGCTATTTATATGTGGACCAGCAAAGGCTGCAAATACCTGCATGTGCATTTGCATGTACTTCGTGGCTGTTTACTTGGAGCTGTGCATCTCTGTGTGCTGAGACCGAGGATAACACCTTGAATCTCCTGAGCTGCCTGAAGCGTGGGGTAAATGACACTGACAGCCGCGTTAGGCATCTCTCTGTGTCAGGGCTACTCAGGTGAAACATGTTCTGCCAAGCTCTTGGCCTTGTGCTTGTACCTTGCTTTCCTGGGGAGATTCGTGTTCCTCTCCGTTCTCTGCTGTCTCAGGAGAGCAGACATTGCTGCATCGCCCGGTGGAGGTGGCTCTGAGCAGTTCTCGCCTGGCCTGACCTTGCTTCCACTGTGAAATGAGCATGTTTGGCTAATTCGCTAGAAGTGAATTGAATAGCTCATCTCCCTGCAACCGGAGCAGCTTAGGAGAGCTGTTAAACACCCAGGGAGGCTGCCAGGGCTCGCGCGGGGCCGAAGCCCGCGCCGCTGTCCCCCCCGCCAAGCCTCGGCCGGGCTAGCGGGGCAGCTTCCTTTGCCGCATCTCCCTCGCGTGGCACCAGGATCAGCAGGAGGGATCCGCGGCCCCGGTGCCGGCGTCGCTGCGCGCATCGCCCCGGCGTGCGCGGTGACGTGGGTGTGCGAGTGCAGCGAGGAGTGTGTGTGTGTGTGTGTGTGTGTGTGTGTGTGAGCAAGGGGACGGGTGTGCGTGCGGGTGTGCGTGCGGGTGTGCGTGCAGAGGGGGTTGCTGCCGTGTCCGGCCGCCCGCGGAGGGGCTGAGCGCGATTGAACTGGTTTGTTTTTCCTCCCCAGAAGAGACAGGCGGAGGAGACACCACATGTCGATGTGGGAGCCACGCAGCAGCCACCTGTATGTGGGCCACGGGCTTGCGTGTTGTGTGTGGCTCGTGTGCTCATCGTGCGCGCCCGCGCGCGGCGCGTGCTCCGCGCCGTGGGTGTTGTGGCGCGTGTGCCTGTGCTACGTGCCCTCACTGTACCCCCGTCTGTGCGTGCGTGTGCGGCCCGTGAGGGCGAGCGGGCTGTGTGCGTGCTCGTCCGTGCCTGCTTCCGTGTGGCGGGAAGGACGGGGCCGCCTCCTCGGGGTGTTTGTGTGTGTGAAGGTTTCGTCTAAGGCCTCCAGACCCGCAGCCCGGCTCTGAGCGTGGGATGGGGGAGGCAGCCCAAAGCCCCCCGCCGCGGCGCCGCCGGGGCCTCTGTCTGTCGTCCGCGGGCGCTCAGCGCGTCCCCAACGTCTGTGTCGTCACTGGGGAGCCAGGGGTGGGAGGTGTGCGGGGCGGGGGCCGTGCGGCCGCCAACGTCCCGCGCTGTCGCCGTTGCAGACGGGAGCGTCGCCGGCGGCACCACATGTCCGTGTGGGAGCAGCGCACCAGCCAGCTGCGGCGGCACATGCAGATGTCCAGCCAGGAGGGCATCAACAACGACGAGCCGCCGCTCATCAACCCGCACGCCAGCATCTTCCGCAGGAAGAAGCCCGGCGAAGGCGTCGCGCTGGAGAAGTGCGAGGAGGAGCAGGGCGCCAAGGGCGCGCGGGCGCCCGCCGAAGGCCCCGAGCAGCCGGCCAAGCCCGGCGAGGAGCGGAGGAGCCCGTCGCCGCGGGCCAGGCGGGACAAGGAGCCGTGGCTCCAGAAGTCGTGTCACGGGAACTGCGAGCCCGGCGAGCAGGACGGCAGTGGAGGGGGCATTGAGGACAGAGCCCGGCTGCGGCAGAGCCAGCGGCGCAGCCGGCACCGGAAAGCCAGGACTGAGGGGAAGGAGCCCGCTGGGACTCTGGAGAGCCGCTCGGCCAGCCAGGAAACGGGCCTGGAGGAGTCTGGCCCCGCGGAGGGGCCGCAGGATGGGGACCGGCTCCGGGCTGCCGCTGCAACGGAGAACCTGCTCGAGGGGGAGCTGGAGGGGAGCCAGGAGAGCACAAGGTAGGGGCTGCCGACCCGTGGCTCCTGCGCACGCCGTGTCCCCGGGCGGCAGCGCGGGAGGTGCAGGCGCTGCGAGGAAGCGGGGCTTGGGGAGAGATCTGCCTCTCAGCGCTTCCTCCTCTTTTTCTGCTTTCTCTCTTTCTTCTGCAGCTTTTTTAATTTTTTGAAGGGGGGGGATCAGTGTGTGTGTGGGGGGGCTAATTTCGCCTTTTATCACATTCCCGCCCCCAGCCTGTGCTAGGGTCCCTTCAGCCCATCTCTGCTGGTCATGCGGTGAGAGTCGGAATCACAGCCATTCCTTTGGATTCCCCTGTTTCCCAAGCTGGGGCCTTAGTGACTCCCTCCTCCCCACGGGCAGCCCAGCCCATATCCCCATCTGACCCTGCGTGAGCGAAACGGGCACGATGCCTCCATCCCCGTGCTCTGGAGCTTCCTGCTTCCGAGGTCTTCTGCAGCTTAGGGCACTGCGTATCCTTGGCTGCTGGAGAGCCTCCAAGCTCCCTTGACTGCTGCTGCTGGATCGCAGCGTGTCTTCCCCAGGCTTCCCACCCAGGAGGGGTTTTGAGGGACGTGCGGGCGCTGCATCTTCCAAGAGCTGAGAGGCCCCAGGGAAGCCATGAGCTGCCTCATCATGGGGTGTTGAGCTCTGCCCTCCGTGTCTGTGGCCAGGGGAAGAGATCTGTGGTCCTGTGGCTGCTTGTAGGTGGCTTATCCCAATGTGCCATGTGAGGCACTGGAGAAAAATTGACTGAGGCCGGAAGAAAATCACAGGAAACTTTGGAGACGGACCCTGCCATACTCCTCAGAGGGGATTTGGGGACAGGGACTTCATGTTCCTGATTGATACACCGAAAGAACAAATTCAAAGGAGTTGATCACTCCTTATGCTTTTATCTTTTTTCTTCTAATTTCACCTCATTCACCCCATTTTCTCCCACTGCTCCGTCCTGTTGTTGTCCCCTTATCTTCTTCCCTCTGTTTTTCTCCCTCCCTTTCCTGCCTCCCTTTTGCAGGACAAGCAGTGTCGCAGCTGCCGAGCTGGTTAGCGCCGCCCAAGAGGGCAGCCCCCGGCAAGCTGTGCCCGAGCAGGGCCAGGGCAAGACCGGCAGCCTCACGGAGCAGGACTGCAGCAGCCTGGACACCAGCGAGCAAGCCCTGCTGGGCAGCCTGCAGCTGGAGGCAAGTCGAGCCGTGAGCAGGAGCGAGCCTGACCTCTCCTCCGTCACCACCAGCGCCGAGAAGGCCACAGAGAGCACCACCATCATGATTGACGTCCAAGACTCCACTGTGGTACAGAGTGAGGACCTGTCTCTCTTTCCTGAGCCCACACATCTCAGCTCCTCTTCTGGCCTGTGGGGCTGGGGTACCCTAATGGTTCCCTGGGGGTTGGCGAGTCATTCGCGTGACTTTTCCTATCTGTATTTGTAACCTTCTTCATGCTGCTCCTGCCATGCGTCCTGTCGGGACGAGCGGTGCCCTTAGCCTCCCAGCTGAGCCCAGTGCCGTGCTGACATGCCACGAGGAGGGCTTGCAGCCAGCCAGAGCTGAGGCAGCAACGGGAGACTGCAGGGCAAGGGCTAGCGTAGCTCCACTCGGGCCTTCTGGCTCTGCTGCTCGCATCTTCATGTGTCTGAGCTGCCCTTTGTTCACCCAGGGCATTTGTGGCTTGTTTCCAGGGCCTCTGTGCTGGTCCTGGTGGAGACGGTGACCTCCTGCAGCTCACCTGGGCTGCACGGGAGCAGAGGTGCATGGTGCGCACCGGCGGCCTCTCCGCTGCGCTTGCTGTGCCTTGTGCTGAGCTCCGCTGGGGAGGGCGTCCTCACACAGGAGCTTTCTGAGCCGGAGGTGGTTGTGGCTTTGCTTTGAGCCCTCCCTGGGAGGACAGGCCGCTCTGGGAAGTTGGGCCTGGCTGCTGTGCCAGGGCTGGCAACCTGCTGCATGTGCCGTCTTTCACCCTCAAGCCGGTCCTTGCATCCATCTTTTTGTTCCTTCCTCCTCCTGTCTCTGCTCTTGTCACCTCCTCTCCCCTTTCCTCTAGAGCACTTATCCCTTTCTCACCTTCTTCCTGATTCCATCTTCATTTAATACATCCTTCCTCCTTCCTTCCTTGCTGCTTCCCCCTGCCAATGTCTGGGCAAAGCATCCGAATCCCCTGTTTTTCCTAACCTGTTAGCGGCCCCCACTCACCTTGCTGCCACTCAACCCCCCCGAGCGCATCCTTGCTGTCAAGGTGAGCCGCTTTAAACCATTATTAATTAAACAGCACTGCAAATGCTGGCCTTGTTAAAACCCCCTCAGTCGGTGTCCTCCTGGCAGCCTCTGTCTTTTTATTTCCCTCTGATCTTTCTTTCTGCAACAGCACAACTTAGACGTGGGGATGTAAAGCAGAAAGCTCGCGGGTTGCATGCGCGCTGCAAGGAAGCGCCGTTCCCGGGCTGCTCGGGAGGCGCATAATTCATTTTTGTTGCATTCGCATTGCAGCAGCCGTCGCGCTGCCGAGGAGCCTGGAGATGTTGTAGCTGCAAGATGTTCTTTTGCGGGGAGGAGGCCCTTGGGGGAGCCTGGCAGGGCAGGCTGCTGCCTGTGCCCACGGCAGAGCAGCTCTTGGTGGTACCTGCTGCCACATTGCCATCGCCTGCACGTCTGCACCGTGCTGCTTTCTGCGTGCAAGGCCAGGCAAAGGCTCTTGTTTTTTGTTCTTTTTTTTTTTTTTTTTGCAGTTAGCAACAAGACAGACGGAGAAGCCAGCCCCTTAAAGGAGGCAGAGAGTAAAGAGGATGAGGAGGAGATGGAGAAGAAGAAACGGAAGAAAGAGAAAAGTGAGACAGGCAAAGCAATGGTGCCTCACAGTTCCATGTTCATCTTCAGCACGACGAACCCGTGAGACATTTTTTTGTCCTTTGTCCCATCCCTGGGGCTGGGGAGGGCTGGATAGGACAAAGCCTTTTACACATCACCTTTGAAAAAAGGAGATCCCCCTGGGAAGGCAGATGAAACACTCCCAGACAACCTGATTAACACGAGCGTCCTTCCCCAGGCCCCAAGAGCGCTTTCCTGCTGTTCTGGCCGTGCTCGTTGTTCTCTCTGCTCTCAATTGCAAGCTGTGGTTTTCATTCCGAGCTTGTTGCCCAGCCCCGTTTGAGCCCAGCTCTCTCTTAACACTTGTGTGGCTCCGGGCGGCAGGAAGGACAAGGGCCCTGAGTAACCTCTGCCTCGCCGGTGCCTGGGATGGGAGAGCCAAGCGAAGCGGAGGCCAGCCTCCCCTTGCCCCTGGCTTGTTGCTGCCCCTCCTAGGGTGGGCTGTGCGCGAGGGCTGCGGGCTGAGGGGGCGGCTGTGCTGTGTGGCCCGCAGGGTGCGCAGGGCCTGCCACTACATCGTGAACCTGCGCTACTTCGAGATGTGCATCCTGCTGGTGATCGCGGCCAGCAGCATCGCCCTGGCCGCCGAGGATCCCGTCCTGACCAACTCCGACCGCAACAAGGTGATTGCCAGTCATCTCCCTTGCTTCGTGCCCCGCTTCCCCCCAACCCACAGAGCCCCTCGCTGAGAGGGACCCCCACGCAGAGAATGCCCAAAATCGGACTCTTTTTACGGCTCCGTTGTGTAGAGCTGGGATAGCCTGTGCTCCTAGGGCTGCGCTGGGCCTTGTGCTTGCTCTCTGCCACTGCAAGGTGCAGTGGTGAGGGTGCAGAGCAGAACCAGGGCACTGGAGTGACAGTCAGGTGGCTTAAAGGGGGGCCATAACAGTTGCGTGCAGGGATTGGTACAGCACAGCATGATTCAGGCTTGCAGCAGGGTTTCAGAGCAGTTTGCACCATGCACAGGAAATATTTATCTTGCACCTACACAGACTGGATTCATGGTGACTGCATACTTAGGTGACAGGCTGGACCTCCGGATGGTCCAACAAGCAGATGGCTCTGTTTGTACTTGGGCTTGGTGAGCGCTGGCAGGTGGGGAGGAAGCGATGTCTGGGTGGGCATAAGGGAACCCATTTGCTGGGGTTGCCCTGGACCAACGTCCAACCTGTGCCCTCTCTCTGCAGGTACTGAGGTATTTTGACTACGTTTTCACTGGTGTCTTCACCTTCGAGATGGTTATCAAGGTGAGAGGCCCTTTTAGGCTGCACGAAGGTGAGGAGAAGTCTGCCAGCCTCCTTACTGCGAGCAGGGTGTCTCGCATGGGAAGGAGCTTGGTCTTTAAGTTCTAGTCCCCAAATCTGCATGAAAGAAGCTTATGAGAGCGGAGAGCACTTCAGTAGCTCTCTAGCTGCAGGGCTCCTGCTGAGCCCAGGAAGGGCAGTGCTTGCTTATGCTTATGTGCCAGCGTGTCTGGGCCTGGGGATGGGGCTGATCTTCTCCAGCAACGTCCCTGGTTCCTCAACAGGCCCTGCTTTCACTCCACACTGCTGAACTGCTGATTTCTGGCTTTTTTTTTTTTTTTTTTTTTTCTCCTTCCTCACTGCTTTCCCCCAGATGATCGATCAGGGCTTGATCCTGCAGGACGGCTCCTACTTCCGGGACCTCTGGAATATTCTGGATTTTGTGGTGGTGGTGGGAGCGCTGGTGGCTTTCGCCTTGGCGTAAGTGGCTTTCTCCCCGCTCAGTTCGCGGGCTTTCCTCGGCCGGGGTGGGAGGCAGACGCGTGTGTGCGCTGCGCGCTTGGGCTCTGCGTGTCCATCACTTGGCTGTGCGCGAGGGTTCTCGTACGTGCTGGAGGTCTGCGGCAGGGCCGGGGCAGCCCCGCTGGCTCCCCAAGGTCAGCGGCGCCCGAGGAGGGGCGAGCAGAGGCTCCCGATCCCCTGTGCCCTGGGTTTGTCACACTACTGTTCTCTCTTTGCACCTTGGACACCAATGGTGGTGGCATTAGTGCTGGTGACACTAGTGCTGGGGGCCTGGCGCCTGCAGAGGCTGCAGTGCTGCCTTTGTTGTCCACAGCTCAGGTGCTGCATGAGGCTCCTGGTCTCGCTGGGGTCCCACGCCCCAAGGGTTCTCCGTGGATTACAGCCCATAACCCAACCCTCCATCTCACCCCCGGGCAGATGCCCCCTCACTGAGGCACCTTTGCTGTAACCCTGCTGTCCTGGGCAGCTCGGGAGGTACCGGCACTGGGAGACCCGCTGGGAGCTCCGGGGCTGGCAGGGGAGCAGGGCAGGCTGTGCCTTCCAACCCATCTCTCGCCAGCACTGTTGGGTGTGGGGAGCTCTTGGTGGCTGCAGAAGCACAGGTCGGTGCCTCAATGGTCAGCCTGACGCCCTCCCTCCTCTGGGCTCCAGGAGACCGGGATGTGCTGCGGTGCTTTGAGTTTTCAGCTGGGTTTGCTCCCCTCTGCATTTTGATTTTTAGCCTGGTGCTCTTCTAAAGCCCTGGTCATCAGAACGTCTGGTGACATCCCCTGATAGGGAATACTAGGCCACATGTTGCATTTACAGGTTGTCAGCCCCCATGAGTTGCCCTGCTGTCTGCTGGCCCATTACTAAGCAGGGCAGCAGCCCTCGGGAGCCCCAGGGCTGGTGCAGAAATAGACTCCATCAGCTTGTGGAGAAAATGAAGAATGGGAAAGTTTCCATCCATAAAGCGCTGTCTCCCAGTGACCTTGTGACTTGCCCGCTGTCCTGTTGGAGTGTGCACGTCGTGATTGAGAGGCCATCTCTTCTCTGCAATCGTCCGTAGCTCAGGGTGGAAAGCTCATACGTCAGACCAAACGCAGCCTAAATAAAAAGCCCAATATAAAGCTGTAAATCTCCAGAGAGTTCAAATTAAATTAGCTGAAATATCCAGAACCATAACTAAAACCCTGCTAGCTTTTGCTTCCCGTGGCATCCACCAAGGAGGCATCGCACAAGGCAGAAGCTCCCACTTGCAGCTTTGCAGAGCTGCCCAGAGCTCTGGTAATACCTGTTTCTGGGGATTTGCAGTAGCAGGAAGGGTTGAGATGTTCTGTTTCTGCAAAGTGGGGTGGCCAGTGCGTATCCCTCCTTAATGTGGACTGATCAGCAAGGGCAGGCACAAGAAAGAAAAAAAAAGAGACAATAAATCTGGTCTGAGCTGAGCGGGATAAAGGCCTTTTATTCCGTTAGGGAATTCCAACTTACTGGTGTAGTAATTCCCTGGCATGGTGGATGCCATAAAATAAAGATATTTACCTGTTTCATCTACAAGTAGAGCCCGGGGTTATTTTGATTAAGGAGCATGTTGCTTTGTAGGACTTGGTCTCTTGCCCACGGAGTGGATTTTTCAGGGGACGTTTGGATGGGGGTTGTGGCCTTGCAGGCGGTTCCCTCCCGGGCCCTTCCTCTGAGTGGCTGCACAGGGGTCTCCCCCGGAGCTCCGGGCAGCGGAGGGCTGAGATCACTCCCATGGTGTCACTCACTGTCCCTCTCTTCCATATCTTCCTCTTGAAATGGAGGCTTCTCTACGCTCCCCCTCCCAAGCTCTCCAGGAAGGAGGGCCAGGGGCTCCTGACCTATGCCAGAAATGAGGAGATGCCCCTGGAGATAAACCCTGTGCTGGTGACTCCTCTCTCCCGGTAGCTATCTCACGTGCTTTCTCTCTTCTCTTTCCTCTCTGTGCTTTTGCTGGTTGGTGGCCGCCTGACCGCGTCGCTGACAGGAATGCTTTAGGGTAACTATGCCGCTTGCTTCTCGCGGGGCGCTGCCTCCGGGAGGCCGTGGGCTGCGGGGCGGTTGGGGTGCGCGGCCGGCCGTCGGCCTGGTGCCTCTGCTGTCTTCTAGCGGAGCTTGCCTCGTGCTCGCGGTGTCCTCACGGTGCTCAGCTCGACGCCAGGCCCTGGCTGATGGTCCCCTGAGGGCAGCTACTTTATTAAGAGAACTTTATTCGGAACTGGAGAGCCAGGCGTGGAGCATTTGAGAGTCCCTGGGGATCGGGCAATGCCCCAATGCAGGAAAAAGTCCTGCTTATTTTTGTTGTTCTGCTCAGAAGGCACTAATAGGAGTATGTGTACTTAGCTGAGCTGACCAAACAAGCATCGTGGGACTCGCCCCACTGCTCAGGGAGGCTACGCTGTGGACAGGAGGAAGATTGTGAATGGCAGAGCTTGGGTGAATCAACACATTTAATTTCTAGTCTGCAAACGGGAAATGAGATGGACAAGATCTCCTTTGAAAGCCGTGCAGCTCCTTTCCTTCAGAGGAGAGCACTGCCCTGCTGTTCCCCCACAGTGCTTTAACTGTGGATCCCAGTGTCCGTGAATACTGCGGGTGTGGAGCGCATCCAGGGGAGCAGTGATGGGGAAAGCTGTACCTCCAGGGAGCTGACGGCAGGATGGGCCTCCTCAGCTCTGCCCGATGAGATCCTGGCCATGTCAGGGCTTGCTGGTGCGGAAACCTTGGCCCTGACATCCTCCCAAGGGCGACAGAAGTGTTTTGTACCAAGCTCGGGACTCGAGGAAGAACTGATCCTTTCCCCTAGGCTGCGCTTTCCTCTCAGTGTCTAAGACAGTCCTTTATCCACATCCTGGTTGAATTTCAAGCACATCCACACGAGCAGGGTTTCTGGCAGGTCTGCTGCTAGGTCTGAAGAGGCTTTATCCACAGCAGAGGTAAATCCTGGCAGTTCAGTTGCCCTTGGTGGCAGTTTGTGCAAGATGAGTGTTGGCCTGAAATCCTCACCCAGGGAGCCAGGTCAGGGAGTTACTCGGGCTGGTAGTGAGCAGAAGCAGGAGGCAAGGGAGGTGAGAACGGAGGACACGGGGCTGTCTGTAGAGCTGCTTCCCATGCATTTGTGGAGCTGGGCTCCTGTGGAGGCGTCAGGATTAGTGGTTTGCTTCACAGCTCTTAATGGAAAAGCCTGTTATTGTGTTCCCTGCTGCATTAACCCTTGCAAAAGATCTGTGCTATCTAGAGAGTCCCTTGCTGTAAATCATTTCCTTGACATTGAAGATGCCGAGCACATACAAGCCAGGCCACACTTGCCAGGACCTCTCTGCTCCACCAGTGCAAATGGTCATTTTTGGCTGTCCTGAGATGATGTTTCCACAGGCAGCCCCTGGGCTTTAGCTGAAGGACAAGATAACGACTGATGTTATGGTTGTGATGAAGGATCACATTCAAGAAGTCAGGTTCAGGAGAGGTTTTATGCTTCTTTTCTAAAGAGCCCATCTACTAGACCCTGCTTCCCACAGCTGGCTGAGGTCTAGGCAAGAGCTGTCCCTATCCCAGTCAGCAAGAGAGGACTGAGCCATTGCCCTGCCTCAGGTGATGGACCACACTGAAGAGTCATTTAGGTGGGCTGGGCGCTCTACTAGTAATGTGTTTGTGGTTTCTGCCTCCTGAATGTGGCCCTGCCATGTCTGTCTGTGCGTGTGCACTGGGAAGGAGCTGTGTGCTGTTGCAAAACCCTGCTGTCTGGGAGGCTGTTGTCTCTCATTTTGGGTGCATGCTCCTCTCTCTGACATGGTAGGACCAACAAAGGCCGGGATATCAAGACCATCAAGTCTCTCCGTGTGCTGCGAGTTTTGCGGCCTCTGAAGACCATCAAGCGACTACCCAAGCTCAAGGTAACGCTTGCATTTTGTGCTTCTTTCTGTCCCCTCTGGCATTAGTTAATTGGTAGCAGAAAGATGCCCCCAGGCCCCCTGCATGCACCGTGCAGGGTGATGTACTCGTGAGCGACAGCCAGCCAATTCTCAAAGTGCTCCAAGTGTTTATGAGCCCTGTTTTCAAACACAACGCCTTTCAAACCGTCTCACATCTGGCTATCCAATGAGCCATTTAAAGCAAGCTTGCCCTCAAATTGGATATCTGCAGCATATCAGAATTAGTTCCTCTGTCAGGGAAATTGGAGATGGAGTGAAAACAAGGCAGCAAAGCCCAGATGCTCTCCTGATGATCGGCTGTCACAGCTTTGGGAGAGCTCGGGCCTCTTTCTGAAGATCATTATCTTTCCTACCAGAGCCAAAATTCTTTTTTTTGGTGCCGTGCTGTCATCATGTTACACCAGAGAGGAATCTCCTAGCTAAGCAGTGGAATTGTGCGTGCACTGTGAGCAGGATTATGGGTTGTCCTACTGTAGCCATCAAGAATGTAGAGTCAGCAGGGCGTAAGAGACCCAGGAAGCCCTGAATTTTCCTCATGAGGATGTGTGGGCTGGTGAATGAGGCCCAGGGTGGCACCTTGGAAAAGTGGCTTTTCACGCTAGCTTTTCCTCCCAAACAGTGGATGTGCTTCAGCCCAGGTCTGTTCATTTCTGGGCACCTTTGCCATAAAGCAGGGGTAACGATATTCCGCTTTCATAAAACACTTTGAGAACTAGGGCTGAATAACAAGTCTCTGAAGCCTGGGGAGTAGTGACTGTTGCAAGCAGAGGTATTCAGGCTGCCTTGTTGTTTGAGGTGACGCTAAACAAAGAAATATTTACTAATTGGTCTTGAGTGCTGCTAATTGCATCACGGTATCCTGTCTGTTGCCCTGTTTACAGGGACCATTGGAGGATATAAATATAAGATATAAATATGCATTATTGCTGCTTCCTTAAGGGGCTACTAAGTAAGTGTGTGTGGGGGGGGAGTGCTCTGAACATTACTCATCTGCAAAAGGCCTGGCTCTTGCCTCCTTTTTCCATCAGGAGTGGGAAATGTCTCTTCACATGGCAGTTTTGAGGAAGGTTTTGATCCTGCTCTTTGAGTCTGTTGGTTCCTGTGCCCTCTCCTGCAGGCTGTCTTCGACTGCGTTGTGACCTCGCTGAAGAACGTCTTCAATATCCTCATTGTCTACAAGCTCTTCATGTTCATCTTCGCTGTCATTGCTGTCCAGCTCTTCAAGGGGAAGTTTTTCTACTGTACTGACAGCTCTAAGGACACAGAGAAAGACTGCATGTAGGTGCCCTGTTCAGTAGGTCTGATGCTGCTGATACCTCTGGCAAAGGCAGGATGCTGGCTAGTGTCGTGTCGGGGTTCCCGGTTAAGTCCTCAGTTGTGACTCGCTCCTCACTGTAGTTTCTTGGGGCAGAAACAAGGGCTGAGCTCTGTCCCTGCTGCTGTCCACGTCAGTGGCTGTGCGTTTGCAGTGGGTGCACGATAGGGATATATTGTATTCTTTATAGAATGTAAGGCATGTGTTATGTGCCTTGTATTCTGTTCCTGGTCTCTTTGCTGCCTTTGGTCTCCCCAGTTTCCCTCAGTTTTGTTATCCAGCCTCCCCACGTTTCTCTCTGCAGCCCTGCAGGAGGAGAGACATCCCACCCCACTGCACACACTGACCCACGGTTTAACACCACCAGCCCATAGACTGACAATGTAAAGCCAGATCTTTACTCTCTCCCAACCTTACAGAGGGAACTATGTGGACCATGAGAAGAACAAGATGGAAGTGAAGTGTCGGGAATGGAAACGCCATGAATTTCACTATGACAATATAATCTGGGCTTTGCTTACCCTGTTTACAGTCTCCACTGGTGAAGGTTGGCCCCAGTGAGTATCCTGCTCTCTCTTCTTTCCTTGAACAGAGCCGGGCAGAGCCCAATTAGTGTGGCAGGGTTAATAACTGGCTGTATTCCTGCAGAGCTGAGAGAGAAACTACTGAGCAGAGAAGGAGAGGAAGGATGAGAAAAAAAATCAGGACAAAAGTGAATTTAGAGCTCTTACAAGTCAGGGATCACAGCTGCAGTTAGCTCCTTCCTTAAAAGTGAATGATGGACTTTCTGCTGTGTAGCTCACAAATATATTTTAGGTCTGCTTTAGAAATAACTGTAGCACTAGCTCTCTCCATTCTAAAGAGGACTTGAGCGATTCTTGTTTCTGTGTGCAAAGCACTGGAAAATCCATTTCCCACCAGGGATGTAGGCAGAGCACCATAAAATGAGCTATAGCCCCTCCGAAGGGCCCAGCTTGGGAAGTGGATTGAGACCGAGGTTTGTCTTACCCTTCCACGCGTGGGCAGATTGAGGTGGCTGTACAGCGTGGGTGGTGCCTTTCCTGCAACAAGTGCCACGTGGTGGCAGCCATGGTGGACATATCTCTGGTTGTCTCTCTTCACCTGTCTGCCCACAGGGTGCTGCAGCATTCGGTGGATGTGACGGAGGAGGACCGCGGGCCCAGCCGCAGTAACCGCATGGAAATGTCCATTTTTTATGTCGTCTATTTTGTGGTCTTCCCTTTCTTCTTCGTCAACATTTTTGTGGCTCTCATCATCATCACATTCCAAGAGCAAGGAGACAAAATGATGGAGGAGTGCAGCCTGGAGAAGAACGAGGTACAGCCTGGGGAGGGGGAAGGAGGATGTTTTTGCGGTTGCTGCTGTAGCAGGCAGGTCGAGGGCCTAGAGCTGGACAGTTAGAAGAAAGCCACGGGCCACCTGCCTGTCTAGGCTGTGGTGGGGTGTAGCAGCCACTCTTTGGGATCTGATGCACATTGTTTTATTCCAGAGAGCCTGCATAGACTTTGCCATCAGTGCCAAGCCCCTCACGCGCTACATGCCGCAGAACCGGCACACCTTCCAGTATCGGGTCTGGCACTTCGTGGTCTCCCCGTCCTTTGAGTACACCATCATGGCCATGATAGCACTGAACACCGTGGTGCTGATGATGAAGGTGAGCTGAGCAGGGTGAGCCTGCCTTGGTTAGGATGGGGAAGGGAAGGAGGATCAGGAGGGGCAAATCAGAGGGTGTTTTCCTTGTTTCCAGGAGATGCTTTGAGAGAGAGTTTGAGCATGATCTTGCCATCACTCAGTGGGGTTCACAAGCTGAGTTCTTGCCGTGGTGTCTTTAGCATACAGTGCTCAGCGGTTGTGAATGGTAGTCAGTCCAACATTGCACCAGGGCAGCTTTTCATGGTGTCTGAGAAGGTTCTTGCAAGTTTTCACATCCAGATGAAGCATTTGTTAAAGTAATTTGCTTTTTCAAACACAATTCTTCTCTCCCAAGTCTGGCTATGGGGTTTTTCTACCTCCCCCACAAGGAAACTTGCAGTATTCCACCCTCCAACTGCATCTCTCCTCAAAACTTGCACTGAGAGGATGTAAAAAACCCTCCTATTTCCTATAAAGGGTTATCTCTGCTGCCTGTGGGGAGTAGTGACAAGCTCACTCAAGAGTGCTTACTGCCTGATATCACTTGTCCCAGCATGTATTCCCTTAGTATAGTCAGTCAAAACACCACATACCTCAAACATGGAGATAACACCCTCCTCTAACAGGAGGATACTTCAGTCCTCTTAATTACTACAGAAGGATCAGGACTCATTCTGTGATTCCTCCTTAGAAGCAATGGCCAATAGTCCCATGAGAGGGGTGGAGAGGGGAAGGAGGAGACGGTGTCAAGGCACTGAGGGCAAGAAGCACAGGCCACTGCAGGGCTTTCTGCAGGAAAATCAGCAGCCAGGATGATGGCAGGCTCCACACCAGCTAGTGATGTCTCTCTCCCTGACAGTACTATTCTGCTCCATACACCTATGAGCTGGCCCTGAAGTACCTGAACATTGCGTTCACCATGGTGTTCTCCTTGGAGTGTGTCCTCAAGATCATTGCTTTTGGCTTCCTGGTAAGTGGCCTCAGTTTTCGGCAAGTTTGCAGTTAATTAGGGCCTTGGCAGCACAGTTCAGCTCCTTGGGTCGTGGAAGGAAGTGTTAGTAAGGCAAGGTAGCTGCTGGTTATTTTGGGTGGCAGCCCGAGGGCTGCTTTGAGGCTGGGTGTTGGAATTGCTCCTTCACTTCTCATTAAACTTCCCACTGCTGGATTTCATGGGCAGTACAAGCCTTTCTAGGTCCCCAGACTGCTGGACAGAGCTGTGGAGCCGCTGTCCTAAAGGGATCAGTGGTCTGTGGGATCAGGAGTCCCTGCCACACTCAAAGCTCAGCGCTGCTCTGACTGTAAACACATTCCCATTACAGCGCGTGAGCGTGTTGGAGGAAACCACAGCACTGCTTTTTGCCTCATTTTTGCAGCACTTTGGATCGTGCGGGGTGCGGTTGTTGTGCTAAGTGACTGCTGCTGCCTGCTGCGTTGGCAGCGGTGGCTGGGCGACCGCCTGTCTCCGGGAGCTGGGCTAAGGCCACAAGATGCCAGTTTGTTGTGGTCCTGGGGCTATATCTGAACCAGATTTAACCAGTGGTGAGGCCTTCGTGTTTAGTGCCCAGTCCTCAAGCCCCCAGCTGCTTTTTTAACATTCGCAGCCGCAGATTTCCTTTTCTCATTTGTTGCTTATGAGCGGCTGGTGGATTTGCTCCTTTTTAGTTTCTTGTTTGTGGCCCTGTAGATGAGATCCAAAAGCAGGAGAGTTTCCAGCCCCTCTGCCTGCTCCCGACAGCTCCTGTTGTGGTCAAGTGCTGTGTTGCACCCACCAGGGGCTGTCCAAAGGGCCCCTTTCACACAGCAAGGGCTGAGATGAGTCCATACCCAGGAGGAAGAGGACAGAGCAGCCGTATGGCAGTAACAGTGTGATGAATTGAGATTCTCAGCACCTTTGCAGCATGACTAGGATACGTTGTGACTGCTGAAAGGCTCTGTTTCCCACTTCTGCGTGGGGCCCTGCTTGTCTCTGGTGCTTGGGAAGCGCTCTGGAGGTGCCCCCCGGGAGCGCGAGGCCGGGCGCCGGTGCCAGCAGATGGGTTGGAGCAGCTCGCGAGGCGGAGCGGAGCAGGGAGCTGCTGCTGCAGCGAAGCGTGGGGCTGTGTGGGAGGCTGCGGAGCCTGACGATGAAACGGGGGGCCGGGGATTGAGGGCTCCTGTGCTGTCCATGTCTCTGGGCTGATTTTTAAGTGCTTTTAACCTCGTCCCCCTCTTGCTTTTTAACAAGCAGCACTGAGCCTGGAGATCCTGCCCCTCGCGCTCCTCCGGAGCAGCTCAGAGACGGCTGCGCTGCTTGGGCCCTCCCTTTCACCAGAGCGGCCCGTGTGACGCCTGAGTCATCTCCTAGGGAAAGCTGCTCACTGTAAACACGTTCTGGGCTGTCACTGTCGCAGACACAGGACCCTGCTCCAGACTCTGGCAGCATACAAATGGATGGCCGGGTCTCTGCCACTGTCATCGTTGCCTATGAGGAAGACTTGGCCCATGTCCCAGCGCCGTTCAGACTTACTGTCGCCGTACTCTAATCCATCTTCCTTCTCTCCTCTCTTTTGCAGAATTATTTCCGGGACACCTGGAACATCTTCGACTTCATCACTGTCATCGGCAGCATTACGGAGATCATCCTGACAGACACCAAGGTGAATGTGTGCGGGATCACGTGCCTTGTCCTCCTCTGCACCGGGTCTGGGAGAGTGACGAGGGGTGGGGGTTTCTTCCACCTTCTGATGCTCTGATCTCCTTCTAGTTGGTGAACACCAGCAGCTTCAATATGAGCTTTTTGAAGCTGTTCCGGGCTGCTAGGCTCATCAAGCTGCTCCGCCAGGGTTACACGATTCGCATCCTACTCTGGACTTTTGTGCAGTCCTTCAAGGTAAATGCCACGTGCCTGGGTGGGGCTTGGGGTGAAGCTCTCAAACACAGGTTGTTCCCAAGGCCTTTCCGACGTGAATTTGGACTGTGCTAAATGAGATGACTCACATGTTTCTCTTGCAGGCGCTCCCGTATGTCTGCCTCTTGATTGCGATGCTTTTTTTCATCTATGCGATCATTGGGATGCAGGTGAGCACAGACAGCTAGGATTGCATCTCTCTGGAGCAGACAGGCTGAACGAACTCGTCCTCTGCGTTACACCGAGCATGAGTTAGCGCCGTCCCTGCCTGTCATAGCTTTACTAGTTCACAGTATCCAGGTGGAACACGTTAGAGCACCCTCCCTGTCCCAGGGGGGAAAAGTTTGTTTCCGAGCCGCAGAAGCGAATACCCTTGTGGGGTGGCCGCCTGCTTGTTCAGTCGAGTCCTCCTGCTGACCTTCCTTACATCACCAAAAAGACCGGGGTGCAAAGAGACAATTCCCAGGGTGATTTGGACCCTGAGAGATGTGTCCTTGTGGACTTCAACTGGGCAGCCTGGGCAGCTGCTTTCAAATCACAACCCGTTTCAGTTTTAGAACTTATGTCATCTCCAACTCCCTGTCCCTACCAGCCTCCAGAGATTGATTTCATGTTTGAGAGACCTGGTGAGCAGTCTTCTGTGTTCTCCATCTGAATGGATGGCAAATCGTACTGTTCCCTACAGCCCAGTATCTGCCTGTCCCGCTGAGAAGGGCTCCTTTGGTAGCCACGCTGCTGACAATCTGCCTGGGATCTTGAACTTGGGGACCTGCTGTGAACTTACCAGGGATGGGTTCCTCAAAGCGCTGGAAAACGTGAGCTTTAGGCTCCAGTCCAGTAAAAAAAAAATAATAGGCATGTGAGTTAAAGCACTTAAACATGTGCTGAAATGCCTCGCAGGGCTGGCTTTGTAGTGTGATGACTAAGACCCACGCTGAGTATCTGACAAGGCATCTTTGACTATTAATACTCAGGATTTTTGAGCAGCCTGATGTGTGAGCCATCGCAATAACTAATGTGATTGCCTGATGCTCACAGATAGGAAGGGCTGGGTGGGGGAAGTAGATTTTGGGGAGGCAGTAGATACCATAGTTGCCACCTGCTCGGAGAGACGGAGAGAGAATCTGGCATCCCTCTTGGTTGGCAGTGCTGGTGTTTAGTCTCTTCCACCTCCTCTCTCCTGCCCTGAAAATTGAGTGGCTGTTTTTGGCCGCTCGGTCCTACAAATCTCAGCACCGTCTCCAGGTGTTCTCTGCTCTGAACAACTGCCATCTGACTCAGCTCCCCTCCCTGCGGTGTGATAGTATTTGATTTATTTTTTTTTTAACACCATTGTGAACAAATCCCCAAGCAGTAAAGTCTGTGGGCGTTATTTGAACAAAATAGCTGGAGGCAGAAAATATTCTACAATTACACATTCCACAAAACCTGTACTGGGGAAAAATACTCTGCAGTTAGTGTATTTTTAGATTCACTGAAAGTAAAATAAATATTTAACAGTAATAACCGCGCATTTTTCCTATTAAAGGCACTTTATGAACATTTGTTAGGTTCTTGCATGGCCTTGGTTGTGGGTCATTATTATGACATACTCCAATTTTGGGCCTTCATAGCCTCTTTTGGCCCCAAGAACCTCCTGGGCAGGGTCCAGGCACACAGGCTGTCTTTGGTGCGTTCGTGGTCAATCTCTCATATGACTGACTGCGATGGTCTCTGCTGGACACCCCTCTGGGTCTGCATAGGGCTGTTAGGCAGCATAGGGCTGTTAAAAAGTGGAGAACTTGGAGGCTTTTCCATCCTAAAGTGGAAAACAGGCTATGCCAGTTGAATTTGGTGCGTCTATCCTGTGCTGCTGCAGGGTATCTAGATGGGAGAGGATCCCAGAGGATCCCAAGCAAGTGGTGGAGACACCATCCCTGGCAGTGTGCAAGAAATGTATAGATGAGGCACCTAGGGACATGGGTTAGCAGGCCTGGTGGTGATGGATTTATGCTTGGACTTGATCTTCAAGGTCTTTTCCAACCTTCAGTAATGATTCTGTGATCTGACCCAAGTTTTTCAGTCATTTGTGAGCTTTACATGAGCGAGAGTCACCCAAACTCCAGACTCGATCTGTCACCAGTGTCTGCTGCTGTGCCCAGCCACCCTGGCACATGCCTGGGGCTTTCTGTCCACTCCTACTGGTGTTCCAGGACTGCAACCCAGCACCGAGTGATGGTAGCGCTTGTCCCTGTGACCCCATGAAACCGAGGACCCCCTGGCTGCTGTGCGATGCTGCGATGCTCCTTGTTCACACAGGAGGCGAACGCATGTGTGGAAGTGGGGAAACACACAGCGGTGGGACTTGCTGATCCCAGGGCGAGCTGGGTGCTCCTGCTCCCGTGGCAGCTTGGCCTCTTGCAGTTTTTACCACGTACCACAAAACTGTTGAGGGGATGAGGGTCTCGCTTCCCTGACTGCCGCTTGTCGCCAGCTCCCCTCGCTGGTGCTCTAAGTTTTCCTATCCCTGCTGGTGCTCTCGCAGAGGAGGCCAGTGTGTGTCCTGGCTCAGCAGTTCTTGTGCTAGATTTATGTTTTTCTTCCCTTTTTCTTTCCCCTGATAGGTCTTTGGGAATATCAAGCTCGATGAGGAAAGTCACATTAACCGGCACAACAACTTCCGCAGCTTTTTGGGCTCCCTGATGCTCCTCTTCAGGTAAGCAAACAGTGTTTGAGCCGTAAAAGAGTCTTTTGGCACTGTTTGTGGGGCCGGGATGACCAGGACCAGAGCTAGGCTGGCTGCCCACCTCCTTCTGAGTCCCGAACTCCTGCAGGCTGTTTAGTGGAGATCAGTGCCACCACGTTTTGGCATTGCTAAAAAGTCCCTAAGCAAGACATGTCCGCAGGAGCTGAGGGAACCATCTGAAACCTGGCTGGGTTGTACTCGTGTGGCAACCGTTGGGTCTCTGCTGAGCCAGTGCAGTGCTCTGCGGTGCCGGGGATGTGCCTGAGCCAGCTAGGGGGTTGCCTAGCCAGGCTTTTCCTGGGGACCTCCTCCTCCTGGCTTGCCTCCACGCTGCTGAGGGAGCCCGTGCTTGGTGCAGGAGTGCCACGGGGGAGGCCTGGCAGGAGATCATGCTGTCCTGCCTGGAGGGCAAGGGCTGCGAGCCAGACACCACGGCGACGTCGGGGCAGAACGAGAACGAGCGCTGCGGCACTGACCTCGCCTACGTTTACTTCGTCTCCTTCATCTTCTTTTGCTCTTTCCTGGTGAGTTCCCTCTTTTTGTGTTCAGCTTTCAGTTTGCAGGACCTGCTCCCGTCGGATCTCCTAAACTGTGCCCCAGCCCTAGGGTTGTCATCAGCGCCCTGGCTGCATCTTCCCTTGGGCTGGGGTGTTCAGGATAGCCCCTGTGGTGACCCAGTCTGACAGGGACTTGTCCCACAGAGACCCAAAGAGAGACAGTGTGACGCTCAGGAGCTCCTTGAGTGGGTTTGATAGGTCTCAGTAAATGCTCAGCGCCTCGGAAAGTCACTTTGGGGTTAACTTGCAGCACCTGCAATGCTCTACAGCCCTGCTACAGCCATGCTCCCATGAGAGCGCTTCCCACAATGACCCTTCTTTCTCTGGTTTTCTCTTTCATTCTCCACTCCCTCTCCCCTCTACCTTCCTCTCTGCCTTTTTTTCTCCTTTCACTTAGATGCTCAACCTGTTTGTGGCGGTCATCATGGACAATTTTGAATACCTGACTCGGGATTCTTCCATCCTGGGACCTCACCATCTAGATGAGTTTGTTCGGATCTGGGCAGAGTATGACAGAGCAGCGTGGTATGTAGTCAGCTCCTTCTCTCCCAAGTAACCTCTCAGAGCTGGTTTAAAATATGCATTTCTATGTTCTGTTGTTGGAAACTCTTTGGCTGAGGTACCTGCGACAGTCAGGGTCAGAGTTGCTTTTGCTCAGAGCTGGTTCCTACAATGCCTGGTGGCAGAAGCACCTTGAGCACTAAGCAGTGGGTGAGACTCCAGAGATGTTAATGGCTTGTTATGGTGTTTACTCCAAGAGCTGGAGGTTCCTTTCTGCCCTGGCCATGTGGACTGCCCTGCTATCCTACCATAGAGCCTGATGGAGGCCTCTCAACTTCCTTCTCTGTCTTCGTCTGCCAGCTGCTGCCCTGAGGCAGGCGCATAGTGGCTCCCCAACACGAGGTCGCTGAGCCCTTACAGCTCCTGCAGAGCAGGGGTGAACGTGACTTATCACGAGGCCAGAAAGTGCAGGTGATCTTAGCTCTGGAGCCCTTGGCAGCCACCTGCTGCCCTTTTGGAGACTCTTCACCTCCACTGCTAATTTCCCGCACATTGAGAGACCAATTTAAGATTTTTTTTTTTTTTTTATGCTTAATACCATCAATTCCTGGTGTAGTTTATTTTGCCATTTCTGTGCAGCCCAATCCAGCTTAGTGCCAACTGAATGTGGAGTTTCTCACATGTGACTTTCGGGAAGGACTTTTTTTCACACCAAGCGTTTCATTCTTTTGTCCTCAACGTTGGTGCCTGGGTCTCCAGGACTGTCACCGAGAGCACGACTCAGTGCCATGGCCTTCTCTAATTTGTCAGAGTGAACTTGTTTCATGACGTGTAGTCAGTTGTCAGGGAAGACGCACAGAAGCCAGTGACTCTGGGGCTGTGGTGGCAGCCCTAGCCCCTGCCACTGACGGGGGAATGGGTGAGTATATCTGAGTGAGTCCTGCTGCCTGGACAGGGCAGCAGCTCCGCATCTCAACAACCAAAACCAAGAAAGCCACCTGAAAGGCTTTGCGAGGAGACTGCGTCAGGTTTGAGGCCGGGAGTGCTCAAGGATTGTTTCACCAGATGGTTGAATTATCTCTGGCCAGCAATGGAGTGGGGATGGGAGAAGGGTGAGGAGAAACGAGAGGCAAAGGTGCTGGGCAGAATGGCCGTGTTAAGCTTTGCCTCCTCGCGTGGTTTCCCTCCAAACTTGTCGAAGGATGCCCAGGAGGCCTGCAGTACTCTGCACCTCAGTACTTCCACCCAGTATGGTCCCACTTTCTGAAGGACTCTGATGTGGACCTGGTGTCGGGAGATCAGCATCTGCACCATAGATCTGCTCTCGGAGACTGTTGACTGTTTAACTATTTCTGCTGCTAAAGGAGGGTGGTGGGCTGTATTCCATGGTTACTGGAGTCGGGTCTGGGAATATGTGCTTCTGTGGGTGTGAAAGGGGTGTGTATATGGGAGGGATTGCTTCTAATAATGTGTACCCTTGGCAGAGCATGGTCTGGTGGTCAGAGCACAGAACTGGACCTCAAGAGACCTAGGTGCTAGTGCCAGACCCACCAGTCACCAGCTGGTCACATTATCTCTCCCTGTCTCAGGTTCCCCAGATTTTGGAGATACAATTGACTCAGCTACCAACCTTGCTGAGACCTTTTGAGGACCAGAGAGCTGGCCACACAAGGCTGGGTGCTCTCGTGGTGTGATGTGACACAACTCCATCAAAAGGGCTTGTTTATAGAACCCAAGCAAGTTGCAACCTCACCCTGCCTAAAATCCCAGCCCTCTCCCAACAGGTTCAGGTGGCCAGGAATACTAGGAGGAAGGGAGATGGGGATAGTGGTCACCACCGAAGCCATATTTCTCCAGGGGCACTGTCCCCTCCAGTGTGGATCCGTACAAGGAGATATGAACGATTTGCATTGGAGAGGCAGTAGCTGTTGCTTAAGCAAATTCACAGCTTGCTGCATCTGACCGAGCCAGAAGAAGAGATCGGGACCCTGGGGATCTTGGCCCCGAGACGGTGCTGGCCCCTCAGTTAAGCTCTCCATCCTCTCCTCCACCCACTCAGTGTCCTATTAACCCACCTGTGCTTCCTTTGCAGCGGCAGGATCTCGTATAAGGATATGTACAAATTAGTACGGGTGATCTCGCCTCCTCTGGGCCTAGGAGAGAACTGCCCCTACAGGGTGGCGTGCAAGGTTTGCCTCCCAGTCCTCCGCCACAACCTGGCCACGGGACGCACCATCTCCCCCTCCTTCCCCCGCCTCGCTCCACCACCACTGCGCCTCCCGAGGGAACCCTTATGTTGCTTTCCTTCGAGTTTAAAGAGGTCCGCGCCTTCCCAGAGCCAGCAGCTGTCCCCACAGGGGTCCAGGGGGGCCCGGAGCCTCCTGGGGTGGGTTCCAACAAATTCCGGCCCCCTGGTCGGAACTGGCCAGCGCCCGACTGGCTCTGTCGGCGCCCTGTACTGCCCAGCTCCCCGTGCCTGGCAGTGAGGGAGCGCTGCCTGCAACGGAGCTGTGGGTCTGCCAGGCGAGGTGGCCCTGGCCCCTTTTTGCTTCTAGAAGTAGCCTCAGTGGGAGCGGGTTTTATCTTCTGCTGGTGAATGGGGCTCACATATGGCTTACTCCTGGAAAAGGAAGGGAAAAGTGGAAGGTAGGAGGATGCTGGGCACTTTGTCACTGATTCGGAGAGTGAGCTGGTGGGGAGGAAAAAGAGGCCAGGCTGACCCCTTTCCCTGGAGAGACCCAAGGTGCTTTATGCCATGCCAGTCAGTGGGACATCACCCGCTCTGAGTGTGATGTTGGATGCTCCCAGTTGTTTCTCTGGGGAACAAGACTCTTCCTAATCTTGCACTTGGTTTACTGGAACTGCTGGGGAAAGGTGCAGAGTTGTTGGCTCTGTGCTGGCCGTGCTCTTCTGCAATGCCTGGGCTGTGCCTCTTGCTACGGGTGCCAGCAGCCACTCAAACCTGTCCCAGATCGTCAGAGCTCGACTGCTTCTCTTCCTCTGCTTGGGCCAATTTTTTTTTGGCTTCTAGACATGAATCTGAAGCAGCAGTTTGGCCTCCTTATGAATCTTTAGCTTACACATTCTTTTACATTCTGTTTTGGAGTGACAGCCGTGTAAATTCTGCACCAACCACTTTGAAGTGTTACCAGGGCCCTGTCTGCGGCACCAAGACCTCTGGGTTCTTTCTTCTCTCTCATTCTCTCCCAGTGTCTAAGAAGATAGAGGAGGGAAGCTCAGATGTTTTCAATCTGCAGGTTGTTGTTCTGGAAGGGAAGATGATTCCTCTTCACGGTGTGATGTACCCTCCAGATCTTCCCTGCTGCATCAGAAATGCATCTTCAGGACAGCATCACTCAAGTGGGTCTGTCGCCCTCCATAGCCGTTCTTGGGGCAAATCCCAGAGTCTGCCTTCCATGGCTTTGTATGAGTGCACCAATTTTCAGGGCAAAAATCTGCCTTACTTTGCAGTTGACTCCTTTTGGATATATATCTTCTAGCACTTCGTACCAGTATCCTCTCCATGCATTTCTGTGAGCAAGAAAACTAAGATGTGCCTAAACACCTCTGGTTGTATCCATGTGTGACTGCAAGAAACACAGAAAAGAAGTCATGAGGCTGTTCCAGGCACCTTCCTCTCCCTCGCGTCGTGGGAAGTCTTTATGCTTTCCAACACATCTGAGAACTAAAAATTTACCCTGTGCATATCTGAAATCTTGTAGGACAGACCAACACCAGAAGTAAAGCAGAGGAAGTGAGACAAGGCCTGAATGCTGCATCATCTCTTTTATAAGGACTCCTTTACATAAAGGTGGGAAGTGCTTGCAAGAATTTCATGTTCTTTCACCCATTCAAGGAAGGGGTCCTTGCACTCTTTTCACTCATCTCTGTTGCATCTCTGATAAAGGACAAGGAGATTTGTTGAGGGCACATGCTCAGATCCCTGCAGGAGGAATTTCTAGTCTTTTTTTCAGTTGCCATCAGGGCTTCACTGGCAAAGGCTGTTCTCCTAAACCGTATCATCTGGTGCAGTGACCTACTTGGCATCGACTTCTCTGGATCTGAAAGGAGAGATTCAAGGCAAATGCTGTTCACTATGACTGCATTCAAGTCTGCAGCAGGACAGATTTGTCTTTGGGTCCGGTATTTCCCATGCATAAGGATTTGGAAAAAGTCACACCATGTATATTTTGGAGCTTTGTTTTTTTTTTTTTTCCTGGTTTATTTTCCCCAGTTTCAAACATCAGGACATCCTGAAAGAGATTTTTTTGTGCTCAGTAGTGCTAACAAAATTATGGCTTATATCTATTGTGAGGAGACATGCTCCGGAAGGTACCTGTAATGCTTCCTGATGAGAGAGAGCTCTGCAGGATCTCTTGTGTCTCTGTGGGATGGACAGAACAGTGAAGATGAATGAGATCAAGGGGGAAGCTGAGGCAGACAGAGCAAGACTAGCTTGTACTGTCATGTGGAGTAGGCCATACCCTTCCAGCCTTCTCTCCCTTCTGTACCTTGGTCTTCTCCTTCCCTGAGTAGGGCACATTTCATTGAAAGATTTTTCAGAGATTCCTGCTCTCGACCTGGAATCATTCTTGAAAAGCATGCAAAGAAGAAAGAAAACCTGCATGATGGTCACATCTTGACACCATGGGCCAGAAACCAGCATGCAAACCCAAAACGCTTGCAGCTTGGTGAACCTGTCTCATGCTCTCTAGTGTACAGCTTCACCTTTGTAGTGGTAGGAAGAGTCGTAATTTCCAAAACGATGTGAGGAATGAGCCTGCAGCCACTTCCTGACAGGCGCTGCAACAGTCATGACTTATCAAAGTGAGCACACATGTGCTTGTGGAAGGGTGGACCTGCCTCTGTGGATATTTTCTCCTCATCTATTTTCTCCTCATCATCCCACCTGATAGTCACCAGTGTTGTAATCAATCTTCTATCCAACTCTTGTAGATTTGTTGGTTTGCAAAAGGAATGGAGTTTGCCCAGTTTGTTCTGTGCCTGCATGCTGAACAGCTCCTGTTGCACAGCGACTGCTGACACATTCATCAGCATCTCTATTTCACGTCAGAAACTTCAGGACTCATCCTTATGGGGGCCTCTTTGGTCAGGGAGCTCCTTCAAACTCTACCTAGCTGGTACTCTGAAGAGGAGGAAAGATATTCCCTTTCCATGATATGCTCAGCAAATGGCTAGGGAAGAGGCGAGGATCCTGCAGGGAGAGCTTTCTTTTTCTTCAGTTCCCTCTCTCCCAGGCAGATTCAGCTGGGACAGGTTTCTCTCCAGCAACCACTTCCCCTGTAACGGTTGAAGCCTTTGCTGTTGTGAGATTGTCCTTGTCCATTAACCATCCTGAATGTTGCAGTGCAGATTGGAAACCTAGTAAGAGGGGAAGAAGAGGTGGCCAAGCCCAAGATCCCTGGGAGATGATATCTGCATGGTCTCCAGGACGTGTGGAGAGAGGAAGGCACGCTCCATATATTTCAGCCCGGTGGAGAGCTCAGGGCGTCATCGGGTGGCCCCTTTTTGGCAGTGGTCTTCACTGCAGCAATCCTAGGCAGGTTCTTACAAAGCAGAGGAGCACGAGGTGGGGGGCCGTCCTAGCTGTCTCACTTGGGAAACCCAAACGAACCCCAATGTTGGAAGGCCCGAACAGCTGCCTCTGCTGAGACTCTTTAAACTCCATCCTGGTGGAACTTGCAGCCGCATGTGGGAGAGAGCCAGGGCGGGAGCATGGCATGTACAACTTTTACTCCTGGTTTTGTTTTTTCAGCCGATTCAGCATGCCTTTTGCACTGGTGCATGGTGGGAAAGTGGTCCATCCGCAGAGCCAGACGGAAGCAACTGGGCATCTTCCTTTGACAAGTGACCCTGGCCCACTGCCTTCTATGCAAGATGCTGCCTCCCAATTGCATAGACCTTATGAGATGGGGATACACCGCCTTCCGGCTATGGGTTAGGTGGCAACGTAAAGCAATACCCAGGCCCCGGGAGGGAAGACGCTGCAGAGGCCACAGATCACTTTGAATCGCTGTGGTACCAACCACCGTCTCTCAAATAACCCATGGCTTGAGTGCCGTGTATCTGATTTATACCACTCGCACACAGCCCTGGAACCTGTGGGACAAGTTGGGGACTTGTGGAGGGCTTTAGGAAAAGAGTTGAGGCCAGAAAAACTCCCAGGCTAGCGAGACAGGTGCTTGAGGCCAGCAGCAGAGAGGAAAGAGTGAGTTCTTTTATGCCAGCATTCCTGGGTCTGTGTGAGTAGTGCTATAAATCCACATCAGGACAGTCTCTCATGTATGATTTGCCTTGATTAACGGGTTTCCTGTTCTTTTCCTGTTTGTCCGTTTGTTTTTTTCTCTCCTGTTTCCTGTACTATTTTGTTCGTATGTTTTTCTGCTCTCTGGGAATGCCTCCTCTCTCTCTGCATCTCCCTCCCTCCCCTTCCCCCTTCATGAGCAGTGGCCGAATCCATTACACTGAGATGTATGAAATGCTGACTCTTATGTCACCACCGCTAGGCCTCGGCAAGAGATGTCCTTCCAAAGTGGCCTATAAGGTAGATCAACCCTTCCTTCTATGCGGGCTAGAGCTGAGCAGGAGCTGGGGCTCAAGGGAGTTGTGGGAGGTGGGACTTTGGGGGCAGATGGGGAGGTTGTGGGGCTTTCAACAAGTTTTTAGCTCACTCCTGGGAATGACGTGGTGTGCACAGAAGAGTTTCGGCCACGCTTGCTGCCTGTGCACGTGACGCTCACGTTGTCACTTGCAGTCCCTGGGAGCTCGGGGGCAGGTGACCACAGTGGAATAGGAAGGACAGGATCAGAAAAAGAGAGAGCGGGGAAGTTGAAGGGCTGGAGAAGATGAGGTGCCACTTTACCCCGTGGCATGTTCAGGAGGCTGTGATGACTCGCATGAGCTCACTGGCCCACTTGGCTTTTGGGTCGCTCATCCTGGAGCCACACTTGTTCTCACCAGTGCAGGAACTTGGCTCAAGCTCAAAGAGATTGGAAAGAGGTGGGCCACTGAGGGTATTTTGTGTAGGAGCATCCCTGCAGTATGGGAAGAGCCAGTTTTGGAGTGGCACAGTGCTGCAGGCCATCCCAGGGAGGGCTTGTACGAGGTGCACACAAGACAAAACAGAAGCTTTCAAAAGGAGGCTCTGGGTTTTGCCCTTGAGAGGTGCCCCGTAGTTGGCTTGTGGAGCACGTGCTTGCACAGCTTGCTTCTGGCTGTGCAGCTGTCCATCAGGAGCAGCAGGAAGACCTAAGGGATGCTGGTTGGGGGCAGTCAATGGTTTGCCACTGGACCGAGCTTCTGACAGGGGCAGTGATAACTAGGAGAAGACCCAGAGACATGGAGCAATGTGGACACAGCCCAGGTCTGGAGCAAATAGGCCTTTCCTGGAAGTCCATCTGGTGACAGTCTTTTTAGGAGTGTGGGTGAAGGTGCTAGCTGAGGGGGTGACACCTGCACACTTGCAAGTGCACTGCCGTCCTCGCTGCTCTCACATGTTTGGTGATATGTGCACATACCCGCCACTGCGCTTGCTCAGGAGGAGCCGGGAGGGTTGAAGGCAGGGAAAGGACATGAGAAGCCAGGAGAGAAGGAATGGGTGGGAAAGGGATAATCCAAGGTAATCGCAAAGCAAAATATACTCTCTGGAAAGTGGATCTGGTCACTTTGGTTTGCACCCCACCTGCTCAGGGTGGGGAAGGAGCATGGTGTGTCTAACCTGCCTTGGTTTCCCTTCTCTTTTTCCATCTGCACTTCTCCTTCCCCCTTTCCCTTCCCCACCCTCGGATAATTTGGACCTTGTGCATGTGCTGGCAAACTTCATCTCTGAAAGACGCAAAAAGGGGGCGCCAGGATGTAGCATGCTAGAGGAATCAAGCTGATCCGAAGTCCCTGGAGGTTAGGGACCCTCCTCTCCCCTGCCCCAGCTGGGAAGGGTTGAGAGCCGGAAAGCCAGACCACCTGGGAACGGTAAACTGAGCCTCATCTCCCCATCATGAGCATATCTCATGCCCCTATCCCTGATGGTTCAGGAGTGTCTTCCCAAAAGTGCTGTGAGGGGCCATGAGAGCCCTGCGCTGGTGCCTTCTTGGGGAGAGGGGCTCAGGGGCCATTCCTGGGGGGCTGCAGGAGGAGCCCTGGAAGGCAGTGAGCCGGTGTCCTGGGGTGGAAGGAGCCGGGTGCGTGGGGGGGTGATCCTTGCCCTTCTTTTTTGGCTGTGCTGTTTTGACACTCTTTGTTGCTTTTCACTTTTTTTTTTTTCCTTTATTTTTTTTCCTTTTTTTTTTTTTTTTTTATGTTTAATTTCTTTTCCTCCAGCCTGGTCGATGTGTTTTTCGATATTGTTTTCCGTCCGCTGTTTTCTTCTCTCTCTTGCGCAGAGACTGGTGCTGATGAACATGCCCGTAGCTGAGGACATGACAGTCCACTTCACCTCCACCCTGATGGCGCTGATACGCACAGCCTTGGACATCAAAATCGCCAAAGGTAACATTGGTGGCACAGAGAGGGGACAGAGCAGGAGGATTTCAGGGTTGCCAGCACTGGCTTAATGGAGCCAGCTCACTCTGTGGTGCTTCGGTCAGGCTGATCAAGATATGCACGGTCAAATTGGGTCTGGCTGCCCGGAACCAGGAGTATGGTTGGAAGTGATTGACTCAGCAAGGTGAATTTATTCTGCCTTCTGTCGCAAGTCCAAATCCATTTCTCTGTGGAAGGGCTGGCTAGATTTCTACTGGAAGCTACTCTGCCAGGAGAGCTGAAACAGAACTTAACACCCGCTGCACAAAATGTGAAAGAGGGGAGATGAAGAATTTCCCTTCCTCCGGATCTACATAAGTAAACCAAAGTGGGGAAAGATCGTGTATGTTTGGCCTTCGCTGGCTGAGGAACAGAAATCCGTCTTGCATGGAAGATAAAATGTTCAGAGCAGGAAGACTTGGTTTGTTGTTGCTGGCAAAACTGATTCATCAAAGCAAAAGCCTTCTGTGGAAACATCCAATTTTCAGAAAGTCTCCCTAGGGAAAACCTCAACTGTTGGAAGAAAATCCAATCTAGGGCAATACCATCAAAATCCCAGTGCTCAGAGAGCTCCCTGCACCTTAGAAAAACAACAATTTCAAGTCCTAGCTAGGTAAAGCAGGGTTTGAACCTGGCTCTCTTCTGCCTTAGCCAAGTTCTCTTGCTCTGGGCTTGGGTCTCTGCCTTCGAGCTTGGGTCTTTTGCAGCTTGGAGACTCTCTTCACTGCTGGCTAGAGAGCTATGTTCTGCTTCCTTTACAGTATCAAAGAGAATTTAAGGATTTCAGCCGAGCTGAGCTGCTCTTTCACCAGCATGTGATCCACTTACCAGAAAAGAGAAAGTGGGGCAGCAGCAGGTGTGTGTGGGCTGGAGTGGGTTTGGAGCTGCAGAGATGGACCCAAGGAGAGCTTGAAGATGGCAGCTTTGAGTGGGAGGGCAGGGGACTGGAGATGGAGGCACATATGGAAACGATAATGGGAAAGTTTGCCTGCAAGTGCGGGAGGCTGGGCTCACTCGTGCAAGGTGACCCTCCCTGCCTGGAAAGTTGGTTGCTGCTTGGTGATGCAAGTCGGCCCTGCTTTCGGGCCTGAAAAGGTATGTGTTTATCTGGGCCCTGGTGCTGGATGTTGATATACATGGGGTTTTTGTCCCCTGCTATTCCAGGTGGTGCTGACTGGCAGCAGCTGGACTCAGAGCTTCAGAAGGAGATCCTGACCATTTGGCCTCATCTGTCACAGAAAGTGCTTGACCTGTTGGTACCTATGCCAAAAAGTGAGTCTCCCCTCACTGCTCCTTTGCATCGCTGCCAAGTTCCTGTCATGCCTGAATCAGCATCTTCCCAGAGTGGGGTGAGGAGCAATCAGAAGAATCCCCACATGGAGGAGAAGAGGGGCACGGATCATGCTGAGACAAGCTTAGTTCTGCCCTGCTGTGCCTGGCTGTTTGTTAGCCCTCTTGAAAAATACAAATCTTGGCCAAATCCAAAGGCATCTCTGGAACCTCATAGGGGCCAAAAGCTAAGAAGTACTTGCTCCATTACATTTGTTGATGTGACAAATATATGCATTTTGGTGCTTTGTTATGATGCTTTCAAGTAATTTTCGTCCATTCATCTCTCTCTAGAGTGTTTAGTGTATTTAGTTCTCTCTCCCTAAGCAGAGAGCAGAACTTGAGGGTCACCAAGATATTTGGTGTCAGGGCTCCTCCTGAGGTCAGCGCTGATGCCCTCAGACCTGCTGTTTCTCTTAAAATAACCGTATTCCTCCTTCTTCCCCTTTTACAGCCTCTGACCTGACTGTTGGCAAAATATATGCAGCCATGATGATCATGGATTACTACAAGCAGAGCAAAGCGAAAAAGCAGAGGCAGCAGCTGGAGGAACAGGTGAGGTTCAAGAGCAGCACAAGGCGGGCAGAATGGGTGAGTCAAAGTGTCCTCACAGGGATGGTGCTGCAGGGAGGGCAAAGCCCCTTCCCACCATATCCCTGCCAAACGGATGCTCGTCAGCTAGCAAGCTGCGTGGGCTTGGATAGCTACGCTCAAGGGCCAGGATGTCAGTACAGGTTGGGGTGTATGGGTGGCTACAGCAGAGCATCCTCAGTTAGCAGCAGGGAACAGGAGCACCGTGTTCCTCCTTTCCAAGCACAGTGGGTTTTTATGGGGGATGCACTGGATGCTCCTCTGCATTTTACGCTGGCTCAAGTTCTTCCTTTCTTTGATGCAGAAGAATGCTCCAATGTTCCAGCGCATGGAGCCTTCCTCTTTGCCGCAAGAAATCATCTCAAATGCCAAGGCTCTGCCTTATCTCCAGCAGGACACCCTCTCGGGCCTGTAAGTACTACCTTGAGAATAGGAAGGGTATTGTGCGTGTAGGAGACTCCTTTAACTTTTTTGTATCTGCAGCTTTCATTTGGTTTTCTGGAGCTGGCATTGGAGAAGTGTGAGGAGTAGTAGAGCTACCTAGAAGAGAGGAAATCCAGTCCCTGGGCAGAGCTTTCCCAGCACAAAACTCTTGTTTGCTGCAGGCAGAATCCCAGTTAGCTGATTTGCATTAGCAGCAGCAGCAAAGCTACCAAAGCTGGGGATGATGAGATAGATGCCCGTGTGCATACTCCACTTGCAGGACCATGCCAGAACCCAGGAGTGTCTCCTTGCTTGTGAGATGAGTGTGCAAAGAATGTGGCAGGTGGTTCGGTGTCGGTCTCTGAATTCTCCTTCCCATTTAAATACTGATTGACAGGACAATGCCGAAGCTTTTCTTCCTCCTTTCCTCCAATGAGGTAGATCCTGTTCACGTGAGCTACCACACTAAGTACGTAGGGTCCTTCTTGACAAGCTGGGATGGCCAAACTGTAACCTTTGAGCCTCAAACAACTTTGGAGCTTGGTGTTTGTCCTGGGACTCTTGACTGTGACACCTCGGTGGGCTGGTGAGGGGATCCACAGGAGAAGCATTGCCCAGTGATCGTAGCACCAGGCTTGAGGTCTCCCTGAAGCTGTGCTCTCTTTGCAGGAGCAGCCGTGGTGGGTTCCCCTCGCTGAGCCCGCTCTCGCCGCAGGAGATTTTCCAGCTGGCCTGCATGGATTCGACACATGGGCAGTACCAGGAGCACCAGTCCCTGGTAAAGTCACGCGCGGCCTCAGAAGTGCTTTCCTGTACTGCCCACAGGGAGGCTGGTGGGCAAGGGGAGGTCCAGGGGTAACAGCACTGAGGTGAAACATTGCTTCCTATGGCTGCGGCTTGGGCAGGGTGAGGGGCAGTGAGCACAACAGGGTAATGGCAGCCTTCGGATCACACACAGATCCGAACGGAATGAAAATTCACCGTCCTCCTGTCTATCCCCTCTACCTGAGTAACGGGAACACGGGGACCTCTGGGTCGGCCTTGGTTCTATGCCACTGGCACCAAACAGCAACAAGTGCAGCCTCTTAAGACCTATGACCACAGTTTGATGTCCTGCAGTAAAATATCCTTCTCTCCACAGGCTGCTTTTTCTTTCACTGAGCGCTCATTTCAGTGGGTTATCCCATACTGAGTGATGGTATCTGATGTTTTTGGATTTGTGTTCATTTTGTTGTCGGTGCCGATGTCCCCGATCCGAAGTGAGCTGTGAAACTGTGTCACCCACGGGCACACAGCCCTCTGGCCCCACACACCTGCTGGTCGCAGCAGTAGTGTCTGTGTGTGTGTGTATATATATGCATATCTCTCTCTATATTTCCATGTCTGTGTGTGTGCATTCGTGCACCACCCCGACACTTGTTGGACGGCAGTGTTGTATCACTGTACATCTCCGGCCCAATCTGTGTCTCCCGGAGTCTGTAGTACTCTCTGTGAGTTGTGTACCACACACACATGTTGTCCTAGAATCATTATGGTTGGAAAAGACCTTTAAGATCATCCAGTCCAACCATAAACCCTCACTATCTCCTCACCCAATCTGCCAAGATGGTGACGGCAGCCCACTGGGGTGGTGAGCACTGCCAGGGTGCTCAGCGCTGCTGAGATCCCTCCTCAAAGTGTTGCCTTCCAAAAAGCAAAGCTGTGCATGCCTGATGTCATGCCCTGCTAATTCCTGTAGTTCTTTGGCATTGCTTCCTATCCTAGATACATAAAAAAAGATAAAGATTTAGAGCCCAGACCTTAAGGAGGTTACCAAAATCCAGGCAAGGTTTTTAAGATCCTTGTTGGAAGGGAACAATGTGAGGTGAATTGAGCATCAGGTGGGCAAGAGCCTGAAACTCCATTTCTAGGCTCGCCTGCAACGGATTGTGAAATGGAGATTATTTTTAAGTTACGACATGACTAGTGATATTTCTTAGAGTTACTTGTTGGCCAACTTAAAACCTGCCCCTGGTTGCCAAGCTGTGAGAGACCTGGGCTGTCCCCTGCAGGCACTGGCAGAAGCAGCGTGCTGTTCTGCTCCAAACCCATCCCAAGAGTTTGGCTGTGTCTTTGTTTCCAGGAGCCAGAGGTTAGGGAATTTCAGAGAGTGCAGCCCTCTAACCGTGGCAACTACCTTCCTGTGGACACTCAGGACCACGCTGTATCTGGGAGGGCCGCCTCCATGCCTCGTCTCACTGTGGATCCCCAGGTAAAACCAAGGAAAGCCCCCATCGATGCCGAGTCCAAGCAAAGCCTGCCAGGTAACACTGGTGCTTCTCTCCGAGTTGAGAATGTCCTCCTGGGCCCTCATTGCCTTCCGTGAGAGCATCTCTGTGACTCCGGGTGGCTTCGCAGAAGGACAGGGCTGCTGTCCCTCTCTGCAGTAGGGACAGCAGCAGAGAGCAGCTAAGGGAAGGCTCGTGCAGGAGGTCCGTGGTGGAGCAGGGACCTGCGGGATGTTCCTGTGCAGTCCCCATGCTGAGGGACACTCCTCCTTTCCTGCAGCCCTGGGCCCTGGCTGGGGAGACTGGCACTGCCAGATGCAGGTTTGAAGAGCCCCTGTCCAGACCTAAGATGATTTTATGGGTGTTGGAGCCTTTTATTTACCTTCCCACTGTCCAACACACGCATCTCTGCCTGCGCCCCCGGACAGTCTGTCCAGGGGAGCCCAGGCCACATTTCACCTCCTTGTTTGTCTGCCTGGTTTCTCTGTTGTTCTGTCTGCATTCAGCTCTGACCAAGAATCAAAAGCTTTCATAGGATTCAGTTCTGCAACTGTGCTGTAGAGTCTCAGGGTCTCTATTCTCATAGCAGAGAACCAGGTTCCACATTACATGGCTGGTCTGCAGTGGTACTTTGGAGGAACGTGAAGAGGAAGGGTAGCTCTTCCATGTGGACTTTGTTGACCATTCAGCAGTGGAGGTGGTGGCCAGAGAAAGGAGATCAGAGCAGAAGGGGATATAGCATGAGGAGGCAGGAAGGGAGAGATGGGAAGGAGAGAATGATCCCAAGGCTGGAGAGGGAAAATCCTGGTAAGTTTAAATCAAACAAAATACATAAGGAGGTGATGCTGTACCAGAGAATTTGAGAACACAAGGGAGGACAGGAAAGGGGAGAAGGAACGGAGGAGATTAAAGGAAGGATTGATGAGACAATAAAGCAACAGTGAGAGCAAGGGAAGAGGAAATTAATACAGGGGAAAGGCAAGAGACGGGGGTCACAGAGCAAGAGGAACTGAAGGCAGCTGAGGCATAAAGGAAATCCAGGGAGGAATCTGGAGCAGTGGTAGTAACTGGGAAAATAAACACCAAGCAAGTGGCTTCAGGTGCTGGAAGAACCAAGGCTCTCTGCTCCCTCTGTCAATTATCTCTTCTTGGACATCTCTCAGCGTTGCTCAGTGTCCAGTTCTAAGAGCAGGCAGTGATGGTGGGTTAGCTCTGGAGCAGTGGTCTGAGAGCCCCTGTTGTCTCCCTGCCCGGCGCTGCTGCTTTGCTCTAGAGCTCAGTGCCATGGCTGGAAGTGGGGTTGTCCCCTTTGCTTCCTGCACGTGATGGGCACTGTCTGGGACAGAGGAACCTGGAAGCACCAGAGCTTCTGGCCATGGCTCCTTTCCTCTCTTGAGCGCTGCCTTCAGAGAAGCTCTGCAAGACCCTGCCCATCACTAACACCCCTGCCCCGGCCGCCCCGGGGCCTCTTCACAGGTGGTCACAGACACTAGTTCCATGCGGCGATCGTTCTCCACCATCCGGGACAAGCGCACCAACAGCTCCTGGCTGGACGAGTTCTCCATGGAGCGCAGCAGCGAGAACACGTACAAGTCCCGCCGGCGCAGCTATCACTCCTCGCTCCAGCTCTCGGCCCGGCGCCTCAACGCTGACTCAGGTGGGTGCAGCAGGGATGGCGCAGTTGGGAAGAAGCTTTGGTGCCTAGGTCCAAGCCGCATGGAGGCCATGCTCTGCATGGGCTTGCGGTGCTTGGTTGATGTTCCAAAGCCTTGTCTCCCGTCATCCCTGTTTCTGGACGTTCAGGGCCTGACTTGCTTTTTTTCCGCAGGCCACCGGTCCGACGGCCACCGCTCGGGCGGTAGGGAGCGGGGCCGATCCAAAGAGCGCAAGCACCTGCTGTCCCCGGACATCTCCCGCTGCAACTCGGAGGAGAGGAGTCCCCAGGCACACGACGAGTCTCCGGAGAGGCGGCGTGAGTCCCGGTCACCCAGCGAGGGCAGGTCGCAGACACCCAACAGGCAGGTAGGTGCTGCGGGAGCCCTGCTGGGTCACGAGCGCCTGTCCAGGTGCCAAAGGAGGCTTAGAAAAAGCACCCTGCCAAGGCCGGGGAGAATATCCCAGCCCCTGGGTGCTCCCGCTGCCCCTGCGTGCTATGGCATTCCATGACCACGTTCCCTGTGGGGCTGAGCCTCGCAAGGGCTCTGAATGCTGGAGCAGCCCGTGGTGCGTTTCGGGAAGCGAGCAGGTCTCTAGTTGCTCGTGCAGCTGCAAAAACCTGGATGCTCCGAGCCCGTGAAGATGAGGTGCCCGGAGCACGTAGCCGCCTTCCTGCCCTGAGCGCCTTGTCCCCGTCTCGGTGCCGTTGCAGGGAACGGGCTCCTTGAGCGAAAGCTCCATCCCCTCCATGTCGGACACCAGCACCCCCCGGCGAGGCCGCCGCCAGCTGCCGCCGGTGCCCCCCAAGCCGCGTGCCCTCCTCTCGTACGCGTCCATGCTGCGGCGCGCCGGGGACGCCTCGCCGCCCGCTGACGACAGCGAGGGCGGCTCCCCGCTGCTCTGCCAGGCCCTCGAGGCCAACGCCGCCGGCCCCACCGAGTCTTCCAGCTCCCCGCCGGGGAAGCAGAGCCGGCAGTCGACCCCGCAGCGCTACATCTCGGAGCCCTACCTGGCCCTGCACGACGACTCGCACGCCTCGGACTGCGGCGAGGAGGAGACGCTCACCTTCGAAGCGGCCGTCGCCACCAGCCTCGGCCGCTCCAACACCATCGGCTCGGCGCCGCCGCTGCGGCACAGCTGGCAGATGCCCAACGGGCACTACCGGCGGAGGCGGCGAGGGGCCGGGCAGGGCGTGATGTGCGGGGCCAGCATCGACGTGCTCAGCGACACCGAGGAAGACGACAAGTGCTAGAAGGCGCCCGCGCCTCGGCCCCCCCGCCGCCCTGCCCTCTCCAATGCATGCTCTTCGCCACGCCTGGGAATGAAGCAGAACCAAAACCAAACGCAGGGGAAATGAGGAAAAAAAATAAAAATACACACACAAAAAACGCAAACCAAACGGAATGAAAAAAAAAAAGTCTTTGTGCAAAAAAAAAAAAAAAAAATTAAAATCTGTCGACTTTCATTTATCACTATCACTTTTTTTTTTCTGCACAGAGAAGCATTTGATGGCAGGCAGGGCGGTGTGAGCGGCAGCCCCGCGGCTCAGCCCTTTGCTCGCTCGCTGCCGCCCGGCGCAGGACCCCCCAGGACCAGCTTTCTGCTCCGCGGGACGGTGCCGGCCGCCTCTGCTCGCGCTTGTGCTGCCTTGTGCTTGTGCTGCCGCAGAAGGGCTGCGCGGGGCCGGGGCGCGCGCGGGAGCCGCCTGCTTTGCCGCTGGGACACGGGATGCAGCGGGGAGAGGTGGGAGTGGGGAGGGGGCCTGGCGCTGCTGAGCGCCTCCCGCCTCGCTCCCACGTGTGTTGATTTACATACCAGGAGCTCTAGGTGTGCGTGTGTGTATATACAGTATGTGTGTGTATATATATTTATATGCTGTATATATAAACATATACACATGCACGGAGTTGTTCTAGTCACGACATGGGGGGCTGCCTAGGGCTGCCTTTGCCCTGGGGAGCCCCTGGCTGGTCCTTGGAGCGGCCTCTGAGAGCTTCTCCTACCTGCGCCCCATTTGCAGGGCACAGAAGCAAGTCTCTCATGGCCTCCTCGGGCAGTTGAAGGAAACCAGTCTATGAAAGAGAGGCAGAAATTTCCCCTCGATATGAAAGAGAAGCAGCATCTTCCCCTTGCCCTCTTTCCCGCTGCTCAGGTGTTTGCAGGGTTTGAGCCAGCACGAGCGAGGTGTCCGGACCCCCGTGTGCCCCGCAGCCTTTGCTGCCACCCTCTCCGTGGGGTGAATCTGTGCCCCATGGGCACGTGACGGGCTGCGAACGCCGCAGGAGCTGGGGTGGCTGCGCAATGAGCAAATACGGAAAACGCAGCGCAGGGCCGGCTTCCCACTGCAGTCACTAATTAACATGGTAATTAACACGCCGGCAGCTCCGAGGGTCCCCCCTGCACACGCGCGTGGCTTTGGTGCGGTGCTTTGCTGGCCAGGACGGGACATGCTGCGGCACTCGTGCTGCTGGGTTCTCCGCGTAGGAATCGGCGGCGTCTGTGGTGGGTTTGTTCCGTGGAGCTGCAGCTTCCTCGGGGAAGGAGGCACCGCGGGAGCTGGAGGTCGGGACGGCAGTGGTTTGTGCGAGCGGAGCTGGACGGTGCAGGTGGAGGTGGTTGAGCTGGGGAGAAGGGGACAACGCAGCCCTCATCCCCGTCCTTCCCCCTCTGGCTGCTCTGCTCCGCTGAGAGTTTTTGCGCTCCTGTCTGTCCTGGCACTTCCCGCACTCCAGTCCCTCCTGCCCCAAATATCCAGCCTCTCCTGCATGTGCAGCTTGGCCGCTGCCGCGCAGCGCTCACCGAGCTCCTCAAAAGCAGCTCTGCTTCGTGGGAAACGAACCCGGCCCTCTGCAAGCGCCGCCCAGCTCCTGGCTTTAGCCATGAACCAAATGCCTTTTCCTAATTGCCAAATTGCCCTCTCCTCATTAAAAAAAAAAAAAAAAAGAAAAGAAAAAGAAAAAAAGAAGAAAAAGCAGATTTTTCCGTGGGCTGAAACCCCTCGCTGTCTTGACACGTACCCCGGGCTGATGCCTCTGCTCTCTGTCAGAGCTGCAGCCCCGCAGCCCTCGCACGGGCCCCTCGCTTGCTTTATGGAAGACACTTTTAGCTGCCCAAGGGCACAAAGGCCCCGGGAGACCCTCTGCGCGCGGCCCGCGCCCAGCCTGCGCTGCCCCTGTCCCAGCGGCTGCGGGGACGGAGCCGGGTGCGGGTGGAGCCCGTCCCTTTCCAGCCCTCGGGAAGTGCCGCGGGGCTGGTGTGGTAGGAGGGAGAAGCCCGGAGGCTGAGCTGGACCTGAGCTTTCCTGCCTCCAAGAGCTGTGGCGTCCGAACGCCCAGAAGCCGCGTGTATGAAGCAGAACAAAACCCTGGGAGCCCTTTCTTCCCTGGCGATCCCCTGGAAATGGCCTGATCCTGTCTGTGGTGCAGAACCCGTGCTCCTGCTTCGCACGCCTGGAGGGCAGCCTGGGGACACAGCAAGCTGTAAAACCAAAAACAACCCCCAGGAGGACGGAGCAGAAGGGGAGAAAACCCACCCCCGGAGGCAGCCTGCGTCTCCCTGTGGAAGTCACTGGACTCCTTTTGCTGCTGTACAGGAACTCTTCCACGGCCTGGGAGGTTTTCTGGCCCTAGAGACCTTTCCTTCGCCTCCGAGACACCGAGGGGCCCCCGCTGCTCCTGCCTGCGGCGAGGCCGCGGCCGACGGAGGAGCACCCGGACACCCACGGCGCTGATTTTCCGGCTGCTCCAGTGCAGTGCATGATGACGTGTCCCTGCTCTGGGCACTGGCACTGCGGGACGTGGGGCTTGGGAAGGTGCCGGCGGCGGCTGGAGGAAACGGGGATGGGTTTCAAGCTCTGCTTTGGAATGTGCCAGTCCCATGCCAGTGGTTCCCAGTTTGGTGCTGGCAACTGGGCTCCATCTAGGAGGTCGGGAGCCGGAGAGCTGCGCTTTCTGCTGCACCAGAGCCTTGGAAAGCCGGCAGAGCCTCCTCATCGAGGGGCCCGGAGGCTCCAGCAACGCTCCCGGACACAGCCCGGAGCAGGGAGGAGATGCTGCGGTCGGCGGGCGGCCCTGCTCCACGCGGCTTGGCGGCTGCTGGACGTTACTGTAACATGACATGTCGTTCAGCCCCAAGCGGGGGGACAAGCTGGCTGACGGCCATGTCCAACTTCAATGTTTTTTGTCCAAAGGAAAGAAAAAATAAAACCTTGTTGTAAAGACCTACTGTAGGCGCTGGCTCGTTGGCTCTTCCCGACCGGCAGCGGCCCCGGGAATAGGGCTGGAGGGCCCAGTGTCCCCAAGGGACTGCGATGCCAGTGGCGGGGGTGGCTTCTGGGGCAGCCGTGCTGGGTTTTGTGGGGCACGTCTGCGTCCTGCTTTGCCTTGTGGAGCGGCTTGGCTGATGCCACGTGCATTGCTGGCCATGGGGAGGGTGGCTGGGCGCCGGAGCAGGGACCCGAGGAGCAGAGAAGAGCAGCACGCAGCAAACCGGGCACCGAGAGCATCGTCCTCACGTTGCATTGCCAGAGAAGCGCAAACCGCCACCCGTCTGTAAACCCAAGGGGCAGAAAATAGGCTGGGATTGGAGGGATTTGGGGTTGTTGAGCTTGTCCACAAGCTGTGCATGCCCAGAGTGTTTGGAGGCTGTGGCTAGGCCGAGGTTTGCAGGTAAGCTCTCATGCAAAGATGCTGAAGTCAGGTCTTTTTCCCTTTTGCAGAGCTATTTAAAAAGCAAAAAAAAAAAAAAAAAGTTTTCCAGCAGTCAGTGGCTGCAAGTCAGCAGCCTGCGGCAGCTTGCAGGCTGAGTGTGGGCGATGAATGTGTTTTAGGGCTTTCTGAAGGACTCCTTTTTACCAGCAGTACCAGTGGAGTGGGGAGAGGTAGAGGGACAGCTCTGCCAAAAAGAGTTTGGGAAAGGATCAAGGGAATCGCTTGGTTTGTCTGATCCCCCTTGGACGGAGCTCACACCGAGAGGGGTTAGGCCGGAGGGCTAAGGGGGACCCATTAAATGTCTGCAAATTTGGGAAGAGCACTGAGGAAGGGTTAGGAAAACCTATTCAGCAGCCGGTGCCACAGGCCACCTCACCGCATTTCTCCTGCTTGCGTGCTGCCTTGTGCTGCTTGGTACAATCTCAAACATTCCTGTTAGGACTTCTAAGTTACTATCTTTTTCTCTATATTTCTTTTTCCTTTTTTTTTTTTTCTTTTCTTTCCTCTAGTCACAAAGTGTTGGAAATTTTTTTCTTTTTTCCCCTGGGAGATGTTCAGCTCAGCTTCATCTGGGGCCAGAGAACTCAGCCAAGGAGCTGGCTGAGCTTCGGAGGCCACTTGCCCTGCGCTGGTCGCAGCCAGAATTGGGCTCTTCCCAGTGGGAAGCCCCTAAGCGGGTGCTGAGCATCCTCCACTAGTGCCTCCTGCATCCGCCAGCCTGGCCAGGTGCTGGGGAAGATGCCCATGGAGCCCCTCCGGGCAGGGGAAACGGGCGCTGCGAGCTGGGAGAGCGAGCGCTCGGCCTGCCAGGTGCCGCAGCTAAAAAAAACCTTGAGAAATGGAACAGAAAGGTTAAAATTGTCTGTACATCATCTGAATAACAATGGCAATGCAGATGGTACCTGCTTTTAATAGCTCCGGGAGACAGGGTATAAATTGGGAACAAAAGTACCCCAGAACAGCTCCTGATAGAAACCCGCACGCACAGGGAAGGGATGGGGGCTCTTCCCGATTTAGAGAGGGCTGAGTAGCTGTGGGAGAGCCGAAATGCGGCCCACGCTGCACTCCGCTCCCTCCTCTCCTGCTCCGTGCTGGTTCCCCCCAGCAGAAACCCATCTGGAAAACAAAACGGGTTGGGCAAATCCCTGATGGTGCCAGAACACCAGCTGCAGGGCAGCGGCTCCCTGCCACGTGCCGGCGGGAGCGAGGTGGCCGTGAGCACGCCAGGCATCCTGAGAAAAGGATGCAAAGCAAAGAGAGAAGCCGTGGGCGGCTCCTGTTCCCCGCTTCCCTCTCATCCCGCCCGTCGCCTGTGTGAACGCGCTCTCCCGGTGCCGAGGATGTGCGTGGGCTTCCAAGTAGGGCTGCTGCTCCCCGGCGGCGCCGCGCGCCCGCTCCGCCGCTGCCGCCCTCCTGCGCCGAGCCGGCGGCACCCGGGCTGCCCGGGTACCACGGGCCGCGGGAAACGGGCCTCGCCGCGGCTCACGCTGGGTAATATCGTCTTCCAGGAACTCTCCCTGAGCCGGCAGCGTCGCCTTCGGAG